TTAACTGACTTGTTCGGCCGTTTATATATGAGATCACTTGGCAGGCTTTGGTTCGAGAACGTTCTCGAATGATCTTCCGTCTCCTTCTTTTTGTTCTAGAAGCTTCTTAGAACAAAACCTCTCTCTCTAATAATTGTTCCATCGATTGTTTCCAGAACATTCCAGAATCTTCTGTGGCGTTATTTGTCACTGCGGCATATATTTATTGAGTGTTAGGAAATATGCTGGTGTATGTAGGAATCATTGGGAGGTTGGAGAACAATCTGCGATGCGTGATACAGGATGATCGTTGTACTCCTGTCTTACTGATGATGTTACTAGAGCCCCTCTAATGGAAATATTACAGTATTTTATTCGAGTTTGTAACAAGCCATAACAGGAACACTTCGGGATATTCCTCCCGAATTTCGATTGACCAGTGGAAATGGATACAAAAAGTAAATCTGTGACTGCGTTGATATAATGAGACTTCAGAGACTTGTTCTGGATTCAAGGAGAATATATTTAGTATGTTAAAATTTCCGATATAGTTTTGGTTATTGTAAAAAACAAATATTGAATCACATTTATGAATTGAAAATAGTTTTTCAAAGTTTCTACTAGAGTGACAGTCATGCTCCCGCGATCATAGATTTTTTATAAGAATGTAAATTATGCGATTTCAAAATATTTCATTCAGTTCTACGGAACTATAACAATTGAAAAATATAACATACACCTTGGTAATAAACCGTGCTTTCGTAGAGTACTGAATAAATTTATTTTCAGCCAAACTATCCGTATCAGAGGAATCTCCTGAAACAGTCCGATTTGTATTTTCAATTCGACACATTATTTATAAGAAGAAATCGAATATACAGGGTGATACACGTTTGAGTGATGACGACATCGACAATTTTTTTTAATGAAACACCCTATATATCAAATTTTTTGGAAACTCAATGGGAAGCTGGATGCAAAAGTATACAGTGTGTCGATTAAATGAATTGCTCCCATAAAATAGTGAATGAATTAATTTTAATCCATTCTATCAATTCCAGCAGAATAATTCGTGTTGGAGAAATTACGCCATCGGATTTTTTTACTGGCAACCCCATTTCACGATAGCACTCTGTATATAATAGACGCTTTGTAAACAAACCCTATGTGTGATATAGTTTTTAATTCAACCTCTCATGTACATTCAGATAATTCAATAATGTATAGGGTGTTCCATTTGATAAAATTGTCGCGGACTTCATAATTCAAACGTGGATCACCCTGTTTATGTAATTTTCCTTGAAAATGCGAGAAATCAAACATTGAAATCGATCTGGTTCAGGAGATCCATCAGAAATGGATAGTTTGGCTAAAAATGAATCGATTCAGTACTACCAAAAATTGGATAATATATAGGGTGTACCATTTGAGAAAAATATCGTGGACGTCATAACTCAAATTGGATCACCCTGTATATAATTTTTTTTCTTAAAAATGTGGGGAATTCAAAAAGAGAAAATCGACTGGTTTGAGGAGATTTCTCAGAAATGGATAGGTTGGCTAAAAATGAATTGATTCAGTACTTTATGAAAGCACTGTATAATAATATTACCACGGGATATTCCATAATCTTGGTGCCTGGGTGATATTCTTCACTGCCATGGTGTATGAATAACAATTATCCTCGAATGACAGATTCATTGGGGATGAAACTTGTACTGATTTTGTTGTTGTAAGTTTAGGCAATAAATTGGAATTCGATGATAACATTACAGGACTGAATACATAGATTAACGACTCCCCCTACATATATGGGGATTTGGTCAACACCAAAATTAGTGAAACAGAAAATTCACAGATGTCTCTAGTATCCGTGGTGCGAATAATTCATTGAGTTTCAGACCAGTTTGTGGTTTATTTATAGCGCCTCGCACGCTCCAAACCGGTTATACGTTACAGCGTTGCCAGAATGTGGCATTATATATTTGTCTGACAAACATTATAGCATCATAATGATATCATGTATCTATCATATAAAAACACTTGAGAAATGTTGAAGACATGAGTTGAAATGCTGAAGAGTTGAGAAGTAGAACATTTTTATAATGAAAGTTGGAAACTTGAATAAGAGAAAGTACCTATGAGAAGTTGAAGTGCAGAAAAGCTGAAGAATATGAGCTTTGAGATATTGAGAATTTGAGGCATAATGTAATTAAGGAAGACAGCAATAAAAAAGTTGAAGAGTTGAGAAGTTTAAAATCTCTGTAACTTTTTTAAATTTACTGAAGAGCCAGAAAAAACTGGCTCTGATAAAGTTGAACATGGTTTCGGGAAAATTGTATTCATACAAACATCAGCATCAGTTTGCCGTCAGTACTAAACGGAACTGAGATTATAACAATTCACAATTATGAAAGAAAAATGACTTCGACGTTGGACACGTCGGACACGAAACAAAAATTAGTGAGTGACATGTGCTAAACTGACACAGTAGATCTTGAGGTAAAATCAAGAAAAAAAGTGCGAAGAAGCTAGTTGAGCATGTAGGAAACAGATAAAAGAAAAAGAAGAAGAAGAAAATAAAACAAACGAAGTGAAAAGTGTAGCTCAGAGAAATGAGAAGAAGGGAGGGAGGAATAGACAATCAGATAACCAGAGGCGGAGAGGTAACTGCACAGAAAGGGAACACCGATAAAGAGTCATGAAAATGTGGTTACGTTCAAAATTGGTTTGATCATTGAGACATGAAACATTCTGGTTGTTGATGCATCTCTGAATTTACATTATTTCAAGCAGATTTAATCTAGGACCTTCATCACAGATATGAAGAATTTCAGAATTACTGACAACATCAAAAGGATGATTGGAATCTATAATATGATTGGCAAAGGAAGATGGGGAATTAGGGTCAACAGCAGTCAAAAATGTACTAATGAGTCTTCCTGTTTGACCTATATAACGATGGCCTAGAATCAATACCTCGTAAATCCACATTTTTCACAAAACTGGGTTTTGGTATTATCCGCTTGTAATTGTTCCCTCCAACCTACTGACAATAGCTCTTACACGCCAGACCAATGAAAAGCAATGAATTCGTCACGTGACAATACCTCGTGGTCGATTCTTGAATGCAATAACTCGTAATCGCTCGTTTTTTGTCCATACTGAAAACTTTTGACATTTTCACTTACGAGGTATTGATTCTAGGCCATCGATAAGCAGCATTACAATCATTGCAGTTCAATTTATAAACACCTGATTTTTTGTTGAGAGGGATCTTGTCCTTGGAATCAACAAATATATGTTTGAGATTAGAAGTTGTTTTAAAAGAAATACGAATGTTATAATTCTTAGAAATTTTGGCAATCCTGTGAGTATAATGTCCGAAAAAATGAATAGATTTATAGATAGGAGGAACTAAAGGTTGGCTGGAAATGATATTGAAGGTTAATCTGAATTTGGTATAAAATTTGAAATAAATTGACATGATATTGGTTTCTAAGCAAACTTGATTATTTAATGCAATTTGTTTGGATCTCCTTAGTGAACGCATTATCAGAGAGAGGAAGTGAGAAAGCTCTATGGAAAAAATTATTGAAAGCTGCGTACTTATGGGAATGTGGGTGATCAGAAAAAAAAGGATTATAGAATCGGTTGCAGTTGGTTTCCTGTAAACCTCAAATTCAAATCTAGAAGTAGAAACATTCTTTGTGATGAGTAAATCGAGAAATGGTGGAGCCAAATTGGATTCAGCTTTCTCAAAATATTTTATGCTGATATTATTTTCACTACCGGATGTGACATTTCGACGCTATAGCTTTGAAATTATTTGCAAATTGAAGTATTCTCACGAACTTATAACCTCCAAAAGTTCAAAAATTATTCCAAAACCTACCTCTTCCCCCTATTCTCCCTGGGTACAGGGTGATTCACCATAATTGTCCCCCCTCTAGCTCACTTATTTTTGAACCGTTTTAAAAATTTGAAAGATAATCTAAAATGTTTTTTCAGAAATTTTTTTCCCGTTGCATCAGAAAATACAGGGTGCTCGGAACAAACGATCTACAGAGTACTAATTGATTTTTTTAAATGGAACACCCTGTATTTTATTGTATTTTTAGATTCTTCCTGAAGAGCTGATTTCATCAATGTATCACACTTGGGGTTTAGCGGGAATGATTACAGAGATATAGGGTGTTCAAAATCGAGATTTTTCAACTTTAGGATTTTTTTGTGCCGAAACTATTCATCATTGGTCAAAACGGCTTCTATGTTCCCATCTCAACTTTCGATTTACTATCTAGTGAAATTTAATTGGAACATTCACAGGGTGGTTCAAGATTCAGAATTCTGGTCACCCTGTATCTGTTCCAATTATTAAATGTCAGTAGATAGTAAATCAAAAGTTAAGATACGGACATGAAAACCGCGTGACCGATAATGAATAGTTTCGTCACAAAAAAATCCTAAAGTTAGAAATCTCGATTTTGAACACCCTATATCTCTGTAATCAGTCCCGCTAGACCCCAAGTGTGATGCATTGATCAAATCAGCTCTTCAGGGAGAATCTAAAAATACAATGAAAAATAAGGTGTTCCATTTAAAAAAATCAAATAGTACCCTGTAGATCGTTTGTTCCGAGCACCCTGTATTTTCTGATCTAGCGGAAAAAAACTTTATCGAAAATCATTCAAGATGATATTTCAAATTTTGAAATCGGTTCAAAAATAACTGAGCTAGAGGGGGGGACATTTATGGTGAATCACCCTGTACACACGATGTTTCACTAACATTATAGGAATATCCTTCCCTCCGCTCCAAGAGATGAAAAAACGAACATTTCAGGTCGATATCACATTAAGTTCTGCATGAATCAGTTATGTGATTCACCCTTTACCAAAAACTTCAAATTTCGTGGCCATACCTAAAATATTTGATTTTGGTTGAAATCATTTAATCAGTCTTTCATACATTCTGTCATTCATATGAAATACTATAGGAAGAACTTTTCTTGATTTCAGGATGAATCCAATTTATATCTAGTAATGGACTATTATTGTGGGGGAGACCTCTTGACGTTATTGAGTAAATTCGAAGACCGTCTTCCTGAAGAAATGGCAAGGTTTTACATAGCTGAGATGGTCCTAGCCATTGATTCCATACATAATTTGAAATATGTACATAGGTAAGACATGATCCATCTCTTTGTAACAATCTCATCTTCAACCAATGTTTTTTGCAGAGATATTAAACCAGACAATGTTTTACTAGATGCCAATGGGCATATTAGGTTAGCTGACTTTGGTAGTTGCTTGAAATTGAATGATGATGGCATGGTGCAATCAAATGTAGCTGTAGGAACACCAGATTACATTTCGCCAGAGATTCTCAGGGTAAGGAAATGAATTATTTTCGTCAATTTGCTATTCTGGTACACTACAATAATGATCTAATGCGGTCACGTGACGAGTCTCTTATACATATCTGTTTTGTACAGGGTCTACCCGTACCTCACGTGACCATAATATTTAGGCCAAAGTTGCACGGGTGAATGTCAAATATCCCTACCATGGATTTTGTGATAAGCAGTGCCGTAGGACATTGAAAATAAAATAGGGTAACGATCACAAGAAATCTTTGGAAGAAAATGACAAATAAAAATCTAGGGTCCTTGAGTCCGGGCTGCTAGGTGGCCAAAAACATCTACTAACGATCCGGTTTCCATAAAATTCTCTCAAAAACCGAATGTTTCATTTGCAGTATATGCTGTAGCTCCATCTTGTTGAAAATAGCCCATTTGAATTTCATCATCATGCATTTGTTCAATAGCTTCTTGTAAAATGGCACGATATTATAATCAATATAATCAGGTGATGTTTGACACCGTCATAGTCAATATCGACTTCTTGAAAAACGTGAGAAAACTACTCAATGCACGAGTGCAGGAAAAAAGTCCAACTTCCATCAGGATTAGGAGTACTGCTGGGGAAGTGTGCCATCAAAATATAGCCGTCTTGTTGTGGTATGAAAACCATTCTAACCTAAGGTTCTACAAAGTAAATAAACCTGATAATCCATTAGACAGAAATAACTAATCATTTAGCTTACCTCAATATTTATAAATTATTCCAGAGTCCTGAAAACATATGTTTTGATAATTTCGACGATGAATAGGATTTAAAGAAATAGGAGACGCAATGTTATTAATTTAGTGTGCTATGCGAATGAATAAGAAGTAGTTGTTTGATACAGTGTTGCCGAATTAAATAATGGAAATTACAAGACAATTTCATGACACATCATTTTGAATTCCCTATGGACTAAACTAAGTCCTTCAGTATCTTTTTTGGATGAGTATGACACAAAAAGTCCCTTTGCTAACCATATCCTATACAATAATACATATTAACAACGTACAGTAGTGGTCGTAAAAAAGAAATATGTAAAATCTTCATTTAGCGAAAACGACCTGTAAGCTTACTATGTGGTTTATTATGGTGTGGGCAGATTTCGATGTTTGTATGGGGTTACTATAGGAGGAACAAAACAATTGAATGTGACATTCTCGGAAACAAAAAAATTGCTATCGTTTTTTTAAAGTTATAAATAAAAGTTCGATTTCTTGATTTTCAAGCACATGTGAATATCGTTTTTGTTTGTAGAGTAGAGAAATTAACTTTCACATTATTTAGACACTTGTTTCTGTATCATTATGTGGCATTGAAGAAAAGGGGAATTCCAAGTTGGCGGGTGTCATCTATGACATTGTTTATCTATTTGTCAGTAAATGACAGTAAATGACAGCCGCCAACATGGAATAAATAGAAGAAAAACGCAAAACTGTCTGGATATTTGCATTTCCAGTTAAAGATCTTGAATTATTTCATATTTCTGCTTTGAACTTTCGATTCTCAACTCTTTCTCATATAAAATCAGTTTGAAATGGACATTTTCCGTATTCCTAAATCATCAAATCCCCTAATATAAAGAAACCTACCTACCCTTATAATGGGCATGATTCCTGTCAGTATGATAACACTTACCTGACTCGATAATCCCATGCCTAAATGCCAATTACTTTATGGATATAAAATTGCCTATTAACCATATATTCTTCAAATTACTTTTTGATATGTATTTATCTACCTATCTTCTTTTTGCCCATTATAAAATAAAACGCAGATTTATAGGACACCATTCATTGTGTATGCTATCAAGAGATAGATTGTGCCACTTTTCATTGTACCTGTGATAGTGTAGTTATAAACATTGTTCTGTTCTGTTGATGTTGATTCGATGGACTTGAGTTGTTTCAGTGGGTAAAGATAAACTATTCTCTATTATTTACGCACAATTCATTCTGTCCGTTATGACGTTACGCAGTCTGGTAAATGCAACAAGTATATCTCCCTTATAATAATGGAAAAATCCTTTGACAATGTATAATATAGTTGATTTTTGCCTACGAAAGAAGGTATACTGGTGGTCAACAAATCTATTAGACTATTAGTCATAACTTGATACAATATTTGGTGTATCGAAACGATATTTGGTATAAGTGGTAGGTGAAGAGGAGAGTTTTCGCATATTTTTCATTTTTCAGTCACTTCCGGTTTCACCGGAAATGGATCCGGTTTCGGATTTTTAGATATAGCATCCTTTATATTAAAACATTTTTATAGCATCCTTTATATTAAAACATTTTTTGGATGTCTGAGACAATTCTAGATTATAATGTATTTCATCATGGTCAATTTTGCCTTTATGAAAATCGTCGAGTTAATTAGTTATTTAAAAAATTTACGGCGTTTGCTGACATTGAACGGGTTAGTACTTCAAAATAATGTCATCTTGTACTACCCATTTTATTTTACGCATCAGGTGGAATATTCCTCTCAATCAGCCTGTTCCTCACCCATATCCTTTAAAGTGGCGGTTATCGGTTGGTCGTCATACCTGACATTGTGATATGAAGAACTGATTTGCTTGGGAGATTTAGAATCAACTGTCCAATTCAGTATAATTTCGTAAAAACTGTCCAAAAGGAGGACGCCTATTTTTCAATTTCTTGAGAAATTGACCAAATTGTAATAAGTTCTAAAATTATCTGCACAATAATTGTTAATGACTGATGCTATAGAATGTTGAGATTACACTGTATTCCATTCAAAATTGCTGAAAACCTGCGCCTTTCAATTGACTTTGATATACTTAGGCTATTTTTTTTCCACAGGCCATGGAGGATGGTCAAGGCAGATATGGTCCAGAATGTGATTGGTGGTCATTAGGTGAGTTTTAAAAAGGGTTAAGGGGCGCTTCCAAAAATTACAAATTTTGCAATTTCAGGTGTATGTATGTATGAAATGATCTATGGCGAAACACCATTTTATGCAGAGAGTTTAGTGGAAACTTACGGAAAAATAATGAATCACAAAAACTGCTTCGATTTTCCAACAGACGTAGAAGTGACAGATACAGCGAAAGACTTGATAAAAAAGCTGATTTGTAGTCAAGAGTTTCGATTGGGGCAAAACGGAATAGAAGATTTCAAGGTTAACAATGTTCTAATTTATGCAGAATTTATTTCTGAAAAATATGTTTGCCTATGATGATAATTTTCATATGACATACAAAAAACTCATAGCTTGCCTTTGTAATCTTGGTAGGAAGAGTTTAAAAACTTTTTACTGTAAACCCAAAGGTACATAATCTAATATCAGGAAGATCCCTTTTCGGTTGATTTTTCTATAAGATGTTCATAGGAAACGGTCAGGTTTTGTGAAGTTGAGAAACTTGATATCTTTGCTATGATACAGTTTCAGCACTTATCAAAAACTACATTTTTCAATCAATTCTCATGGTATATGTGATGTATTGTTGAAAAAAGTTGTTTATATGATGAGTTTATTTGAAAAGTATTGAGTTTTATAATGACATTTCTTTAGTAATCTGAGGCAATAAATATACACATGAATTCTGTCAACATTATATGTGAAAACAATATTTTCTTAATATCCTTATTTTTAGAGCCATCCCTGGTTTGAGAATGTCGATTGGGATGGGATTCGTGACAGTAATGCGCCGTACATACCAGAAGTTTCAAGTCCTACAGACACTTCAAATTTTGATGTTGACGATGCCGATATTCGATTATCCGACGCAATGCCTCCGACTGCCAATAATGCCTTTACGGGTTTACACTTACCATTTGTTGGGTTTTCCTTCACTCAAGGAAGGTAAGCTTTTTTTTAGTTATGAGGCTAGGATAGAACTAGAACAAGTCATATCACTCATTGATTGATAAAAGTCAATTAGCGAGTTTGGGTGTCCCACAAGGGTCAAATCTTGGGCCATCATTATTTATACTATCTGTAAATGACAAAGCCGATGGCATTACTTCTCATAAACTGCTATTTGCAGATGACATGAAGATATATTGTGAAATACAAAGTGAAGCAGACTGTTTCACATTGCAGGAGTACTTGAATTCATTGATTAATAATTATAATAAAATATTTTGTTCTTAAATACAAATGAATGTAAAATATTGATATTCACTCGTAAAATCCTACCAGTAACATCAAACTATGTACTAGATGGTGAAAGTTTGACGCGGATGACGGAATCAAAGGATCTAGGAGTACTGTTCGATCAAAACCTCACGTTTTCCAATCATATTCAGAATGTGATATCAACTTCAATGAATATTTTGGACTTTCTGATATGCAACTGAAAGGAATTTAAGACCTTTGATTTCTTGAAAACCATTTATTTCACACTGAAAATTGAGATTTATTGGTATTATTATCATTATTATATGCATTTTAAAAAAAACACGGCGTTTACCTTGACAGAGGTTATAGCTATTGGACGATTTTCATATGATTTCTTTAGAGAAATTCAGGGAAAGCTGAGATATGTGTTTTGCATATAAAATCATACATGGACAAATAGATTGTTCACCCCTATGTTGAAACTTATATAGACGGGAATTTTTATACTGGCCATGAAATAATCTTCCTGAATATCACTCGACCATGACGAATTGAGATTATTATTTTCTTAATACATCTGGAGTAACTTGTATTCTCAGACAATTTTAGAATTGTAGAATTATGAATCTTGTAATCGGCTGATGGAGGGTTAATATAAGCCCGAAACATGTACCTTCGTGATTGATCTCTGATCATTCAAAATTAAAATGTTTGAGCTGAATGTGTGTTTTTTCATCTTTGGATGAAAATATTATTCCAGCCACTGAAATTTGTTGTGAATACAATGCAAACTTGATTGAGAATTCAACTGACAGCTGGAGTGACAGTGATTTTGATATGGCACTATGTACCCCGTTCTCCAAATGCTACTTGGTTTTATTCACAAATATACGAAATTTTGATGACCTCTTAATCCAGTGAATAGAGGAGGTTCACCTTACAAACGGTCCGGTAGTTCTGAATTTTTGTTATATTATCTAGGATGGTTATGGAGTGTTTGAAATGCAAAATGCACAATCTCCCCTCCGCGCCCACTGCCATATTGAAAAAACCGAAAAAAATTTCTCCAGATTTTCGCTTATATTATCGTTATGGTGCATTTTAGCTACAAAAGAGTCCCATTAAGTATTGTAGAGGATTGAATTTCCTATAATTCACGTTTTGAATTTTGATCCTAGGACTGATAGTTACGGAGATATGCACCTTTTAAAAAATGTAAAAAATCGCATTTTCCGGAAATTTGTCAAACTTCTCACTTTAGAACGCTGTAGTTCACTTATGGCCTATTCTAGGGAAACAAGTATCGGAAGAAGATTTGTAGGGAATTTAATTACATACAGAAATGCATGTACAATTTTTTTCACCCACCCTACGTAATGGGGCGTGAAAATGAAAGTTAAAACAACGGCATATTGTTTTTTTGGCTATTGTGACTCCACATTGTATCTAAAAATATTCACTAACCATCACAGCGCGATGCTTATGATGCAGGTACTATTTCAATTGATTACCTACCTACCCATTCACTTAATGACTTGGTGGTATGTCCTCAGTAAGTGGAAATGTTCGGAGTCAGTGGTAGGAGGTAGTTTAGCCAGATTGAGTTCGAGGGTACTTGTTTTCAATCTGCTACAGCGAAGGGAGCTCGACGATTGTTCTTTACTGCCACCATATAGGGATACGAAGACGTGCAGGAGAAAGATACAGCCTTTGGAGTTGTACTTGTAGGAGGAGGCGGAGTAGATTGCGTCTGGATGTTTCCCTCTCGCTGGTTTTTCGAGGTAGACATTGTTCACCGTAGGTGTTGTGCCAGTCAGTAGGACGAGTAGGTCAATGTCTTCTCCGACAATGATGACGGCGTCGTACGTAGGGGACAGACATTTAGCTGTTGCAACTATCAACCTGTCAGCATCTTCGGGAGCTTGGTCTGTGACTGTATTTGACGCTTGCATTTCATTGCAGAGCAGCTTCACAAAACTGTCCTTGTTCCCCTCATTGGCCAGGAATTTATCCTGAGGTACGGTGTTGACAGTGGTTTTGTCAAACACCACGTTTGATGATGAGTTTGCCTTGTACCTTCTTGCTCGTTCAGCAATCTTGGTCCCTTGCTGAGAAGGATCTGTAGTGTAGCCATCAAAAATCAACATTACATTGGTGCCATAGTGTTGCTGAACGTACTTGATAAAATTCCGGAATATGCGTTTTTTTATTTTATAAAAAAAATCATATCTCCGTAACTATCAGTCCTTGAAACAAAATTCGAAACGAGAATTATAGGAAATTTAATCCTCTACAACATTGAATGGAGCTCATTTGTAGCTTAAATGCACCAAAACGAAGATATACGCGAAAATCTGGAGGAAGTGCCGATATCTTTGGGTTTTTTCAATATGGCGGAGGGTGCGGAGGGGGGGAAATTGTACATTTCGCATTTTGAACACTCAATAACCATCCTAGATAACATCAAAAATTCAGAACTACCGGACCGTTTGTAAGGTGAACCCCCTCTATGTGTCTCTATTCACTGGATTATCTTGTGTACAAAAAATACGAAATTTGGCTGTAAATGTACATGAGAGATTCGCAAAATGTTGTGTGTTTGTTTTGGTCGGGTATGGATATTTTGATTCATACTCATACTTTCTAGTCAGTTGAAAAACAGAAAAATTGTAGTGCAAAACCCTGTGATGAAAATCTCCCACATAGGTGATATGATATGAGAAAACATGAATATTTTATATTATTTCAAAACATACTCGTGAAATGTCAGTCATGTCTGACGAAAATGTTGAATTTAAAAAAAAATATTTCTTGTAAATATATGTCATTCTTTCTTCCAGCTGTATTTGTGATTTAAGCAATTTGAGTGCTTACGTAAATTCTGACTTTACTGAAAAACAGAATCAACGAAATAAGGGTGATATAATAGGAATAACTCTACAGGAAAAGGAAATGGATAGAAAAATGTCGCCTGATGGTACGAGGAAATTACAGGATGAAATCAACACCCTCACAAAAAGGAACTGTGAATTAGAATCTCAATTGCGTAGTCTTGAGGCTGGCAATTCTAAGGAAATGCATATAGACTGTCTAGATAGTGGTGACAATGGTAAGAGTTTAAATTGTATCAGTTTTGTACTGGCCAATGGAATTCACAAGCTCACAATTCCGAATCAAATGTTGAAACGTCAAATTAACATAACTATTTACAATTATTATTTTTGTTATCGATTTGTCTTCGGAAACCCTAAATATATGTATTCATTCCATAAAAACGAAAAAATGGTTCTCAAGCTGTTGAAGTCCTTCCACAAAAAAATTACTCACCCTGTATAAACTATAGCAGTACAATCGACACAATCAACGCATTGCATGATATACCTTGGCGTAATAATTGATAATAATCTGAAGTGGAATAATCATGTTGATTATGTTTTGAAAAAATTAGATGTCTCATTTCTTAATTCAGTCGTTGGAAATATCAAGCATTTCTACTTTTCGAAATGATATATTCTGCTTTGGTTCAGTCTCAAATAGTTTATGGCATTTCAAGATGGGGAGGAGTAAGGCAAACATATTTGAAAAAATTGGAAGTCATTCGAAAATAGATTTTGAAAATATTTATGGAACAGATTATTCATTCCTACTGAACTTTTATACAACAAATCCCAGAAGATGGATATAAATTATTTGTAATAATAATTATGAAAGTTTTGTTTTGGAAAATCGGTCGGGTTTCAAATCAGCAGGGTGTTGCGGGTTCAAATCGCACACACTGTATACGTAGTAAATTGTTTTTTCACAGACTTGTTTTGATATAACTTTTCAAACTTCTGAATTTATTTTCATGTTTCTTAAATCATCGGTTGCTGGAAATATGATCGAAAACTATTTGATCGAAATCGCTTGATCAAACATCATTTGATCGAAAATTAATTGATCGAAAAATTAAATGATCGAAAAATCAAATGATCGAAATATCAATTGATCGAATTATATTTCGATCGAACTTATAACATAAAAGAAACATATTTGATGAAATCCGTCATTCCCTGAAATGCTATACGTATTGCAGGCAAACAGGGTAAACTTTGTTTTCAGTGTAACTGTTTGCCGGAAGGTTGAGGAGGGAAAATATCCTTTGTATAAGGATAAAAAAGGAGACTACTTTTCTTGAACAATCTAACCTGACTCGGCCTAAATGAACCTTCTTCCAAGATAGTATATTTTTCGGAAAACTACTTGAGAGAACAAGAGAGACTTCTGTTTCTAAACAACCTAACCGGACTCGGCCTAAATGAACCTTCCTTCCGTAATCACTGGGAATACCTGAACTATTAGGCAAGCGATGTACCAAACAGGGGCGTCCACATGGGGGGGGGGGCAAAGGGGGGCGAATGTGACATAAATTCTGACATATTATGTTGATCACTATAGTTATACTTGAGGTTATACTTCTCACAGCTTCTCACAATAAAATCCTTAATATCAATGAATTCCTGGAATCTAAACAAAGGGTTTGAGACGAATCGGTAAGTATAGCTGAATATTATATCCAAATTATTATATTCCATCAAAATGTAGTTTGATCAATTGATTTTCGATCAAATGATGTTCGATCAAATGAAGTTTGATCTTATGATTTCGATCATATTTCCGGCAACCTAAATCATCGATAAAATGTTGACATTAATTACGGTATATTTCGAATGTAAATATTCATATCTGCTTTTTTTCTCACTTGTCAGTTTTCAGGACTCAATAGGTGCAACTTCATAGTGAATGCATTCACGTCGATTTAACTTTGTCCTAACTTAAGGGTTAGAGAAAGTGATTAATTCATAATTCAAATTAACCAGCTATCACAGGTTATTCTTCAGTCAGGATTAACTTGTGCATTACTTCACCATCAATTTTCAGCTAAATTAAAGGAAATGGAGAGGATCATCCGAATTCTCAAACAAGAGAAAGATGAAGTACTGAAAGAAAAACATGACTTGCTGGAAAAATTTAAGTTCCAAGATATAGAATTGAAAGATGCTTTATCTCAAAAAAAGTTGGCTATGGCCGAATATACTGAAGTTTCTGATAAACTGGCAGAACTAAGGCAACAGAAACAAAAATTTTCGAGACAAGTGAGTTATTGTATTATGCTTCCTCGCTAATAAGGATTGATTTTCCGAGCATTAAAAACTTAGATGAACTAATCGCCTATATGTAACGCCGGTGACAAAAGGAGGTTTTGTGATTGATTTTTTCGAATTATTTACTGTAAACTCGAATGAAATTGAACCTGATTTATAGTTTTGTGGATGCAGAAATTGCATCACGATAGGTCTGACAAAAAGTGAAGTGAAAATGTGTTCAATGGGATATGTTGTTCTGAAAATTTTTATTTGTTTTACTAGGCAGAAAAGCACAAGATTCAATGCCGCTGGTGTTTCATAGCCAAGGATAGGAAACCAGCCGAGATATTGAATTCGGCCATGTGAAATGTATAATTTTTTCTTACAAAAAAAGACAAGGTTCGCGCATTATGGTTCTCAATCGAGCAAATATCCAAGAAATCATTTATTTCTAAATGTTCAACGATAATTTTGAGCTAGTTAAACACTATTTTTTAGGTCAAGATTAGTATATTACTACTTCAAAACCATATTTTTTGACATTTGTAAAAAAAAATTTTCAACACGTGCGCAAAATACTTTGGTGATCAAAGTCGCATTTCGCGCACTAGATACAAAAATAACTATTGTGTTTACCCAATGTCATTGTCAATTTTCCTTGCCAATTGGATTCAAATTCCCACTCTGAACGTTGCATAGCAACAAACTTTTTCTGCCTAAGCAGTAAAAATACACCTTTTATGCATGTCGAGTGTCATTAAAAAGCCGATTTTAATGTGATTTGAAGATAAGAGTACTTTTTGATTTCCCCCTTAAGTTTGGGAGAAAATGACAAAAAACTATTTTCTCAACACCACTTGATGAAAATAATATCGCAGAATATCGCTCGTCACAAATTACTTTGAGATAAACTTATAATTTTACTGAATTGTCCAATAAATTTCTCTTAAGTATTGTTATGTTGATTATTCCAGATTATTTGGGATTTTCTCTCCCCGTCTCTATACAAAAAAATATTATTATTTCAATATACGTGTAGTAGAGTCCGACCACGTTAACTTTGGGACAGCATGTGACGCAACGCATATGCATATTCAATGCATACGCGACCACGTGCTGTCCCAAAGTTATCGTGGTCGAACTCTAAGGACGAATCAGATGATCTGCCCCAAAAGGTCACTGCTTTTAAAGAAATTTCCTATCAGAGAGCCTAAAAGAAAAATTAACTAGCTTGTCAGTGACAATTTGTATTGAAAATGGTTTGGAGAATAGAAATAAAGGTATATTGAAAAAATATCGACTTTTTACTTATCTTCGGACGTTTGAATGATAGTGATTCGAGTAGGAAATTAGCATTCCGTGCAAGTTATACACTATAATTTTTCTACGGCTATAAAAGATAACAGCGGCATTTACGATTTCTTCGTCTTGTAGCCATTTGATTTCCTGTCAAGTAATGCTCATCTATTAGACAGAGCTGTCATAGCTTCACATTTAACATTCAATGAGCGATGCCATTTTATTGAGATAATAACACAATGGATTCATTGTGATATCAGATACGGAAATAATATTGAAGACATACAAAGTAACCTCATTGACGTATCGAACACAGTAAAACAAGAGCAATTTTGTGTTATAGCCGTAGAAGAATGGATTTTTGTATGGCAAATTCGTATTTTTCTTGACAATTCTCAGTTCTCAATGACAATGGGCTTATATCACAAAAAAAATCTATTTCATAATTCAATAGAACTCACCCAAACTAGCTCACCACCGCAAACCGTTTCTTGCTGTGAGCTCCCTACGTTTAATAAAAAATTATTGAAATCCCCGATTTTTCGGATCTCCGAAAACGAGGCGATGATGTGACGTCAAAACCCTAATACTGAAACAAGACTATTCTAGACATATATGAATGATACATGATTTCTGACAGAGTGAATTAGCGCGAGATCACAGTTGAAATACCTAATTAATATATCAGTTGCCTCAGTCTCCGTCGGGCTTTTGGTATTTTCTATTAACTATGGCGAGATGAGGTTCCTACGTCATTAGGAGGGTCCGTTTTCAGATGGTACTATTATTTATGTCCAAAAATAAAACATTCCAGTTAATTTTTCGATCGAATTATGTCGTCAATCTTTATTTATGTATAAAAGGATCATTATAAACATGGTTTGAGTTCTACTAAGGTGTACACGCCCATTGGTGACCTTGGCAATCAAATGAGTTACAGGATGTTTTCATTAATTAATCTTGAATCTACCATTTGGTAGAGATAAGTAAAAAGTCGATATTTTTTCTATATACCTTTATTTCTCTTCTTCAAACCTTTTTCAATACGAATTGTCTCTGACAAGCTAGTGAATTTTTCTTTTGGGCTCTCTGATAGGAAATTTCTTTAATCGCAGTGACCTTTTGGGGCAAATCATCTGATTTGTCCTTACTACACGTATATTGAAATAATATTGATATTTTTATTTTATAGAGACGAGGAGAGAAAATCCCAAATAATCTGGAATAATGAATGTACCACCTCCTCGATTAACCTACAGACAGTATTGTTATGATGGTTTTGTTATTATGTATACTCTATCTGTTCGTTCATAAAAAATTTCGATAATAATTATTGATTATTCGTGAATCAATGGACCAATGAATAATTAATGGTTCTGATTTTTTGAAAATGTATTTTTGACTTCAATTGTACAAATCTGAGATGTCCCAGGTTAGAGATAAGGAAGAAGAACTGGAGACCGTCATGCAAAAAGTCGATTCTCTAAGAAACGACATAAGAAGAGCAGAAAAGTTGAGGAGAGAGCTTGAGTCTAGAGTGGAAGAGGCTCAGGCCGAGTCCATCAAGGAGCGGAAGCTCAGAGAGAGATCAGAGGAGTATTGTAGACAAATGCAAGCTGAATCGGACAGGTTGAGGGTGCGTACAGAACACGCTCCCAGAGATCAGCAAGATTCCCTGAGACTCAAAGCTGAACTGGAAAAATTAGAGGTAATTAGTTTCATTGGAAATTCGATCGGATTGTTGTCGATGATTTTAGTTCATGTGGTTTATAAATTGACATGCAACCGCCAACCGAAGAGATTATTCTATTTTTGTTCAATTGTTTCACTATTGTACCTGTGATCTGCCTACTGACATTTTTTACTGGAACTGACATTTTTTACTGGAAACTACTGATTTATAATTACCTGATATTCAATATAACGTCGACGAAACCGCAAAACCAAGTAGCTGCAAAATAGTTATTTATGATATAAGTGCTAAAAGTGACATTTTATTGTGTGAGAAGGGAAGTTTGGGACACGACGCCGAAGGCGGAGTGTTCCATCCCTTCGAACAAAAGAAAAAACACTGTTAGCACATATATCATGCACTATTTTTTCTACAAACACCATTAAAAGTCCAAATTAACGCATAACTATTTTACATTACTTATTAATTGATTAAATAACAGCCTCCAGATTATCAGTTTTGAATCCAATTCAATCTAATCTATTCATGAAACAAGTTACCAAGGTAAACAAAAACTGAATTTGTTGATTTATCTTTCTTGACAACTAACGTCAATAAATCACGAATTATTCTTTCTCGTTTCTTCGTTCCTCGATGGAAAGTGCCCAAGAAAATGAATTTCTTCTGCCGCAAATTGAAGAAGCTGCCAATAAAGCTGTTTTTGAATTATTGCCTAGTAAGTCGAAGCGACAGTACGAGTTTTCATATGAACGTTTCTTGAAATGGTGTGATCTGAAAAATGTCAGTGGAAAGGAGGCCAGTGAATAAGTGCTTCTTGCATACTTTGAAGAAAAGTCCAAAATATGGAAATCGTCAACGCTTTGGACGAATTACTCTATAAAGTCGATGATGAACATAAATGATCATGACATAAGCAGATATCACAAGCTTGTGGCTTTTTTGAAGCGAAAGGGTGAAGGATATCGACCGAAAAAGTCAAAAGTATTGACAAGAGAACAAATCGACAAATTCCTGGCAGAAGCCCCAGATGAAATATATCTAATGCAGAAAGTTGCTGCGATTTTTGGTGTTTTTGGAGTTTTTGGAGCTTGTCGTCGAGAAGAACTGTGCGATTTGACATTGAATAATATCGAGGATTCCGGAACTTCACTAGTTGTGCATATACCAGACACAAAAACTAATGTGCAACGCACCTTTATTGTAAGTGGTACATTGTATATGAACTACTACAAAAAGTACATAGCCTCTCGGCCAGTGGATATCAATCATTCTAGAGTTTTTATAAAATGCATTAAAAATAAATGTGCCAGGACTCCAGTTGGATTCAACACATTTGGTAAGATGCCTGCCAAAATTGCCGAATTTCTCAATTTGCCTGATTCCCATCTATATACTGGACATTGTTTCCGACGTTCCCCAGCTAGTTTGTTGGCGGACTCTGGTGCTAGTCTTACTACAATTAAAAGACATGGTGGATGGAAGTCCAGTACAGTAGCAGAAGGTTATATGTATAGAAGATTCGCTACAAAGGAAACAGAACATTGCAGATCAAATTTTGTGGAAAACTTCTGCAGATAATATTGCTCTTTGTCCTGGTACAAGCTTCACGAAAACAAATTCTGTCACATCTACCAATGAGACTTGCCATGGAGTTTCGTATTATAATTGTAGTTTCGCTAATTGTACTTTTAATTGAATAAACACTTCATTTTGAATTCTGTTACCATATTTTCTCATAAAAATAAATCACTTTCAGCACTAGTGCTAAAAGTGATTTACTTTTAACACCAGTGTCATGAACTGACATTTTAGACACTGACAGCATGCGTCAAAAACTATACTTTTACTGACGTTTGTAGAAAAACCAAATTTTCAGAACACTAAAAACTTTATAATTTGGGGTTAACTGATCAGATTCAATAAAACAGTTACAAATCACCTGATTATTATTATTCGTACATTGATTATTGAAAAAAGTTATTGTTTTTGTTTGTCAGCGTTAGATACTTGGTTTTGACATCTGCTTCCGTGTGAAATCAACAACAATTATTCAGAAAATGTAATTCGCAAAAATACATATCTTCATTTTTCTAGACTTTCTGTTTAACAAATACTTAGGATAAATTCTCAGATTCTGTGTTGAAATACCAATTGCATTAAGAATAAACTGTTTCACATATTTGTTCTATACAAATTCACTCACCGATTAGCAGAGATTAATCTCTGAAAAAGTAATTGAACCCAAACCACAATACACAATATCAGAGGCGAGAATCACATGGCTAACTGTTAGATACTTGTTTTTGACGACCCCGTTTATTTTGTTTTTCAGATAAGGGGTTTTGTATTGATGGATTTTAAAATATTTAGAATTTTTTACCAATTGTGAGCTTTTGCATACGCGCCCCCACCCATACGATCGAACGATTGCCGCCAGAATCCCATTTTAGAATTTTTGTCAGTTACTTGGTTTTGCCATTTCACCGAATTATTTTCAGATTGAAACTGTATTTGAATAATATCATGTTTTTATAAAAGAGTGAAACGGTTATGACTGAAACTTATTTTGGCGTGTTCACATAACAAGGTCATGAAACTAGAAAATCTGTTTCGTTTCAGCTTTTCGCCCAAAAAAGTTTGGCAGAACTATTTAAAAAATTTACAAAATGGATTGAAATCGACGCTATGATCGAACAATAATTATATAAATATGCAACCAAGTTGGTATAACTAATTTAATTTTCTGTTTTTCTCCAGACATCATATGATCAATCATTTGGTGTCACAAATATAGATTATTTATATTCAAATACAGATGATAGAGATTAGTTACAATATGTGAAAAATTTGGTTCCTAGAAGATGTATTCCTGAAATTCATCAGATGTTGCTGTCACTTTGCGCCCATTTAATCCAAGCGTTGCCCTGTAGGCATTAGGTGGCCTGTGAATGCACTTGTTTGATGTGTGAAAATTCATAGTCATTTCCATGGATAGTTCATATTTAATCAGTTCCTACGCACTATTTAAGAATTGAATGTTACAATATAGGGTGTCCGGAAAGGTCATATCGTAAATGATAGGGCTGATAGAGCCATAATAATCTTAGTACTTTATATAAAAAAAATTATATTGCACTTCGTTACGGAGTAATTGACCTTAAAAGTTAAAAAAAAAACAACATGTATAACTTTTAAGCGGTTGCCATGGTATCAATGATATTCGGGCAACTAATTTAACTCATACTAATGCTCCTTTCGAGATGTAAACGGCTGTTCAGTGATTATGCTTTATACAGGATGGGACGTTTTTTTTTTCATTTAATGGAAGCATTTTTGACATAGGTGACAAATTTGACATTTTGCTACCACCGTTTGATTCCTTCATCTATTTTCTACAAAAATAGTGTACCTTATTTTCATCGATATCTTGTACCGTTCTGAGAAAATCGCATTTTAAGAACATTTAAACATACAACCCAACCGTTTCAAAGGTAGGCAATAAAAACTATATTTATTCAATAACATCATGGTAGTTGCAGTCATTTTCATAATTGACAAAAAATTATTTTGATAGTATTTGATACTTTGGTAAGACCATGGATGAGTTTAGTAACGATGAGTATACACATATGCACCTTATGTAGGGACTTGCAGAAACTTTCAAGGCCAATAACTTCGTAACGAAGTGAGATAGACGGTTTTTTATATAAAGTACTAACAATATTTTGGCTAACTCTCATCATTTACGACATGACCTTTCCGGACACTGTATATTGTAACACAATTCAATTGTGATGATGTTATAGGTCCAGTACAATGAGAGTGTATCTCAGCAGCAGGCTAGATACAATATGGAACTATCTTCTCTCAGAGATCAGTTACATGAAGCTGAAACACACAGAGAACTGCTAGAAAGAGAAGTAAGAATGATTTGGAAATGATAACTCCTTGGTATTTTATTTTGTGCATGTTTTATTTTTCGTTAAATTCTTTCGTATCAGGTCCATTTTTCAAAAGACAAACTGGAAAAATCTCGAACTGATGCGGTGTCGGATTCTGAACAAATGACAACCGAATTAAATCGTAGGCATGATAGAGAAAAACAAATCCTAATTGAGGAAAACAAAAAACTGTCTTCAAACGTAGAATTTGTGAGTTTTTTATATTCTTTATTTCCTCTTCATTTCGTCATCATATCATATCTTCATTTATCATTTACTTAATTTATCATTTACTGGATTCGCCGGAATGATCTACTCGTTTTGAAATTGATGCCGATAAAGTGCTCGCGGGGCATAGTTATTTTGACTCAAAAGGTTACCACTTTGGTTGACATTATGGCGTGAATGGTAAACACCTTGCATTCATCGTAGATAAGTTCAGCGGGTTCTGAAAGAGAAACAATATGTCGTCCCCTTCTGTCTTGACCTTCAGGGTCCCTTCGTAAAATAATGAAAGTGTTGATAACTCAAAAAGACATATTTTTCTCTCAACACTAGCTTTACTTCTCTATTTTAACTAGGGAAAAAGCCAAATACTCAAAGTGGAATGCATTGGTCACAAAGAGAGAAACTCAAAGTCATTACCACAACTAGTTCATAAAATGAACGACAATGGTAGATAACGAGAGAAAAACAATTACTTTCCTGGCTATATGCCACGCAGAACATTGCATTACATCCTCCCGAAACCTATGCGATAGTTCGTATAAACGAATAAAATCGCAAGTGTTTCCTTCCTAAACGCTGAACTGCGCTTAAGTGGTTCAGGAACGCTGACTACCTGCAGACCGGTTTCGAGCTGTTGGCTCTCATCAGTACAGGGCTGTCCCAGATAGCTTCTTGACCGCTATCTGGTGCGAACCTGACCCAACGTAAACGCATCTCAGCATTTATACCATACGAGGCGTTCGAAGTCTGCGAAATGAAAACGCGAACGCCACCTGGCAAGGAAAGAAACACTCCAAAACAAAATCCCATTTCAGGTGAAATGAGAGTGGCTGGTTGCCCGACTGGCGTATTTTCAACTAGGGAAAAAGCCAAATACTCAAAGTGGAATGCATTGGTCACAAAGAGAGAAACTCAAAGTCATTACCACAACTAGTTCATAAAATGAACGACAATGGTAGATAACGAGAGAAAAACAACTACTTTCCTGGCTATATGCCACGCAGAACATTGCATTACATCCTCCCGAAACCTATGCGATAGTTCGTATAAACGAATAAAATCGCAAGTGTTTCCTTCCTAAACGCTGAGCTTTTGATCGTTAATGACCCCTATTAATGATCAATTTGTCTATTAATGCACGATTGTAGCATAGGCAACCATACATTCACCGCGTCCACTGTATGTTGATTATTTCGACAATTATGACAAATGTCAGTGTCTTAGGCTACTGGGTGATTCTTAGTAGTTTCCGGATGATCGCGAACCAAGTTTTGATACCAACTCGTATATTGAAAGACGATTGATTACTCCTGAAAATTGAGTGAGGTTATTTTGAGAAATTCCCGTCGTACGTTACTTCAACTTGTATGCGTTTTATTTCTTGAGCTTATACACAGTGTGGTCATTTAAGTGTGCAACATATGGGAATCTTTTTAATGAATTGCACAACCAAAATACAGATAGTGCCGAAAGTTGGTGCATGTTCGGTAATCATTTCAGGTGCACTTAGAATGGTTGCAAGTCAAACAGCATACAGGGTAGGTCAAAAAATATATAAATTGCTCAAGAGTACCCTTATTTCAGAAAATTCAGCAAAATGTTATTGAGAAAAGTTGTTTATAATTGAAAGTTCCAAGTACCAAAACATGGCCTCCTAAGACATTTTTTAGTTTTTCAATTTTGTTCGTTGATAATTTCCCAATTTGTAATATTTTAAATACAAACTGTTCACATTAAATGAAAGTTTTTGAATATGCATATTATAATTAATGATGTTTTTACCTTGTTGAAAATATGGTTTGCGAAATTTTGAAGTTGAGCTGAATATCGTTGCAACAAACAAAGTTTGTGATTCCCTAAAAAAATTAAAATCCACGTTAATTGCACAAATATGCTTGAATTTCAACAAAGGTATGCTCAACTGATTTTGTTATGATTAACTGAATTTTCTGAAATATACCCTGTATGCTGTGTGACTTGCAACCATTCTAAGTGCACCTAAAATGATTACCGAACATGCACCAACTTTCGGCACTATCTGTATTTTGGTTGTGCAATTCATTAAAAAGATTTCCATATGTTGCACTCTTAAAAGACCACACTGTATAATCGAATAGAGAAATTTCCGTTCACTTGCATGCTATTAAAATAATTTGTTCAAGTATTCAAATAAGTCGATGAAGAATGCGAAATTTGAATCGATTGTGATCGAAAACTTCCCAGCACTGAGTCATTTCAATTTTTCATATTATTGTATTTGATGTCTCGTTCTGATCTCGGGCCGAATAAATTAAGACCGCGGGCCGGCTGGAGATTTTTCCTCCTCATTGCCTAACCAGCGAGTTGGTTTATCCATATCTATAACTGTTCAGTTCACTCAATGATGACATGCAAGTAATTTTATGGCCTGGATTGTCAGATAGGATCTGAATGGTTTCACCCGAGTATTTCCTCCTTATGTTCTCCCAAATGCAACTCTGTTGCGTTAATTTCGGCCCTAGTAACATCGATTCATCATGTCTCAGGGTTACACCATGGATCCCAGCGGCTCGTCCTTTCATTCAGTGTTGTTAATCTATCTGTGTACCAGACCGTTTGAACGACCGTTCTTTTTTCTCGGCACGATTGTTCCCAGTCTGCCAGGATTTTTAATGTTTTTGCGCATAAAATCGTTTGCCATAACTAGCAAAACGTCCCCAATTACTCTAGTGGTTTGGTTGTGTAAAGCTAAAGAAATAAAGTGGTGACTGGCAATATAAAATCAAAGTTTCACACTTCTTCTTGAATTTGATTACTGTTGCTTTATCTGTTTCAAAATCGGGAGATCATTCTGCTGGACCCTGTAACTTGCAAGTAATATGCCAGGCACAAAATACTTGTTCAATTTCAGTTAACTGAATCGATGAATCGACTGCAAACGGAGCGTTCTAACCTAGAAACAGAATACGAAGAGCTTCGCAACAAACAAGAAGCTTTAGGCCAATGGGAATCGCAATTATCTGAAATAATTCAGTGGGTCAATGATGAAAAAGATGCGAGAGCTTATTTGCAAGCTTTGACGACCAAAATGTCGGAAGAGCTGGAATACTTGAAAGGATCAGGTGAATAAAGTTTACAAAATAGTTCGGTTTGTTTATTCTTGTTGATACAAAGATGCGTTTCAAAATTATTGTGTGCGAGACACAATTGTTCTGAATGAACCGTTTCAATATTAAAGTTTCAATATCAATACCGGGTGTCAACGAATCTATTAGACAAGCCATAACTTCTATAATATTCGGTGTATATTCCAGTCACTTCCGGTTTCACCGGAAATGCCTCCGGTTTTGAATTTTTATATGGAAGTCCCTGTATATTATAACATTTTAGAATTTATGAGACGATACTGGATCAGAATATGACATTCTCAGAAGTTTTCACGCCCACTTAATTTCTTTAGAGTCACTTTTAATATAGCATTTAGGTGGCCATGATCGGACGTAAACTTATTCAAGGACCTCAGGTGATGTCAGACAATTTTAATCACAAAGTTTTAGTGACTACTATGATAGATAAGAAGACAAGTTGATTAAATTACATTTCCGTGTCTAACTATTATTTTTCGAATGACAACCATTTTTTGACAAGCACTTTCCGAAAAAAGGATTTTTTGACGAATCAAACGATGCAAATTCATTCGGGATTGGATTGAATATAAAAACATAGAATTAATATTACTAAGGAAAATACTGGATATTTAATTATTCACATTACATTTGTCAAGTGTGCGATGGATAGAAATGATACATAATAGTTGTGCTTTATTTATCCGATTTCGCCACCGGAATCACTTTAGGTGTCGTTTTATTTGCAACTTCGGAAACCTACTACTTTTTATTGCCGTCCCATTTCAAGGAATGACGTGGAATGACTGTTGACAGTTGCCAAAAACTTGAACTTATTCAAAGTAGAAGACATTTAGAAGACATGTTTATTGTTTGTTTCACAAGTTTATGATTCTTTCAAGTAAGACAGGCTTCATGTATTCATTACCAGATGAAATGAATTCACTCGATCTCGGAAAACTTTTTCCAATCACCACAATCAGTGCTCCAAATATGTGTTAATTTTTAACTCTAGTATTATGATTTTGAAATTATTCGGAGCCACAATATATAAATATAATGTGTCAATTCTCTCAATTCTGCACCTAATATTTTGAAGTTCTTTTCTTCAAGTCTTCTTTGGAAAACAAAACACTTTTCACTTTGATTATACATTATTTTGACATAAAATAAAAACTGAAATGTAACGAAAGTAAACAAATCTTTACTGTCTGCACATAAGGCATTCGTCACTGTCATTACCTGAATGTTTTGTTTTCCAAAGAAGACTAAAAAAAACTGTCCCTATAACTTTGTGTTTAAATTTACGTCCGATCATGGTCACCTAGATGCAATATTTAAAGCGGCTTTATTATACTTCTATCATACTCGGATCCAGAATTGTCTCAGAAATTCGAAAATGTTACAATATACAGGGTGTTCCATTGAACAATTCAAAACCAGGACCATTTCTTGTGAAATCGGAAGTGACCGGGAAGTGAACAATATGCGAAAACTTTTCTCTCCACATATCATATACCCATGTTGAATTTCATTTCGTATAGTTTGATGAGTTGTCAGAAGATCTTTTCAATGAAGTTGTTAATATTATTATTCTTTCATATAAAAAAGTGGGTTTTGGAAATCACCCTCTAATTCCTTTATTTGAGTTCTGACACAGTTTTGATTAATATTTTTCAAGGTCTTCTTTCATATGTCCAAATGCTGTTGAGAGGAGACTTAATAGTTATTTATGTACCAAGTGTACAGTATACAGATCCTAACGCCCGGTGGGTAACATGCTCCCGAGGGCCTTTGACTAGTGGGATGAATGCTGCCCAATGGCGTTAGGATCTAGTAACGCTGGTGGTGCATACAAGATTCTAATTCCCACGAAAAAAATATCTTATAATGAAAAATCGATTTTAAAAAGCGGTTCATTTCTCCTAGCATTTTTTCCATTTTTTTTATGGTAGGCATGGCATTTGTTAATATTTTGACGTTTGTTGGATATTGCTGTCATCATTTAATTTACACTACACTGTTTTACCACTAACCAAACCGATTTTTTAACGCCTCGACACGTGTTTCGCTAACTATGTTAGCATCTTCAGGAGAAGATTGAAACTCAATTTAATTTAGGGAATGTCATTGCTGCTGTCTTTGTGTAGTCTTATATAAATAATGGAAATGAATACGAATATGATTCATAATGTCCTGGCCCTGGCGTTATGAGTCTGTTCATAGCAACTGTTGCCAAGGTATTATAAAGCAGTAATGGACAAGTGAAAAATAAAAATATTAACGCCATATCGGATTTTCAATAAATTGAATATTGGCATGTTTTCTTTTTGGTGATGTGTCAGACTATGATCGTCTATCCTTATAAAAAAATATTCATCTGACATGCAAGCTTCAGAACCTCAATTTCATGTCATTTTGAAAAATAAATATTTTGACATTACTAATAATGGTGAATATTACGTCACACTGATTGCAATGTATTTCCAGACAGATACAAAATTAATTAGTCGTTATAATTGAAGGGGCAAGTGGGACAAGGAGTCATGTTACAAATATGAGTTCTTCAGAAAAATGGGTTTGAGTTAAGTTGGCTGGCATTTTTTAATGGAAGCTAGGTCAATAATTTGATTTATGCAATTGTGAGGAATAGTTTTAGGTAGATTTTTTATGATTTACAGCATTTTGCTATCATATCATTGTTTGATAGACATGTAGGCAATGGGCACATAGCTCCTTCTTCCATTGCGTGATTGATGTTTAATGTAACATGGCTCCTTCTACCTCTGTGTATCTGCTCAGGTGTGGAGAATAGAAACAAATCCTTCTTCCATGACATAACCGAATATTTTCGGAAAATGTTACTTGACCCCTTCTTCCACTTGCCCCTTCAATTTAGATTATCAATACAATTTTGAACAAAACTCATATTACTCTATTTTGCATTATTTGTCAATTTCAAAGCACCCCGTTTCATCTTTTTCACCACCATTTAATATGAGAAATTCGTGCGTGTAGGTGTTTCCAATGTCGTTCCTGGTGCAGATAAGAACTGGAGGAATAGAAGATCGCAAAAGCTCGACAAAATGGAGCTGCTCAATCTGCAGAGTTCCTTACAAAGCGAAATACAGGCTAAACAGGCTATCAGCGAGGACCTGAGTAAAACCAGGGAAGCGTTGCTCGCTGCTCAAAAGTAAACATCATTCAACTTCTTCAGATTTGTTTCATGATTTGGGATTTTTCAGAGACCTTAGGGAATATCGACAACGAAATGAAGCCTTATCCATGGATCTTAAGAGGAAGGAAAAACAGATCAAAGATTTCCAGAATCGCCTTGACTCAGACGGATGTAAGTTTCTACATCTCACTAATTGTTGGTAATCTAATTTATTTGATTTGATTTTATTAGATTTCATTTGATTTACTTTATTATGAACAGTTCACACTACTTGACTAAAATCAAACAAGTATAATTTGTTTAACTAACATTGCAGCCAATTAGTTGAACATTCCTGCTATTCCAATACATTCAAAATCCAGCCACCAGTTGGAAATGGCTTGCGATAATTTATTACATAGCAGGGTAGGAACTGCTTCGTTCCTGTCAAGGATTAATATACTCAGTTGACTATTTCTTGAGTATCCCTCACCAATGTTACTACTTCATTCATAACCATTTCCATCTGTTTTCGATGCCTCTAACATACATTACAAACCCTGAATATTTAATTTACTTTTGTCAAGAATTTATGGAATGTCGAACTAATTATTTTGGCAAACATTTTTTGTTCCAATGACAATCTCAATACTTTGGGATATTTTTAATGAAAACGAATAATTTTAGTATACATTTCAGTATCAGTAAAAGTTTCAACCACTTTCTGAATACAGTCTGTATAATATTTCTTTGCGCGTACGTCACAACTTCAAAAAACGAATCAAATCAATTCAAGGTCATATGTTCCAGTGAAGCAGTGCCGTGCTGTTTCAGAAATTGGGTTAAAATAAATAATAATATTCAGAAAATTCTCATTCAATACTACTGGTAATTTTAACTAAGAAATATTCGATAAAACAAAGGATTGGTATATATTTCAAGTTTCAACTCTTCGTCAATTTATTGAAGGCAAAACATGTATCAGAACTTATATATACGTGTGGGTTGGTATATGACCCGATATACACACCTATTTAATGTTTTTGTGAGGTATTCTGTGATCGTGGCAAAGCCGAAGACTGTTGAGTCGTTTTAGGTATTTGGTATAATACCATGCAGTATTTTCCACAAAACCACCACTATGGCCAGCATGAAGTACAATAAATCGTTTGCCATCATAACCTTCTGGTTTACGAACGCTTTTTGCACTTTGATCTTGCCATGATCTCATCTTATTCCCTTTCCCAAATATCCAAGTTTCATCTAAGAAGACGATTTCACTAGGGAAACTAGAATTGCGATTTTGATAAAACTTTCTGAAATATTCTGCTCTCATATGGAGATATTATGTCCGTCTTCTCAACCAATAACCGTCTGTTGTCTTCTTTTTTATATTTGAATCCTACATTTGTGACAAGTTTTCTCAATGTGCCTATACTTGCATCAAGAATATGCTTAGTTCTGAGTTCTTCTTTCAAAATCCTAAGTGATGTGTTTTTCTGTGAAATAGTCAGTTGAAGGTAGTCTAGAAGTATCAAATGAAATCACTTACTCTCTGCATACATAGTATAGTATAGATCACATTGCGTACTTCCATTTTCAAATTATCATCCAGATCTACTGCCTTGGGTTTTTATAGTCCTAGATTTCCCTGGCGTACTCAAACTTTCGTTTCTCTCAGAACGTACTTTAATACTCGACTGTCCGCAGATTAATATTGAGGGCTTCAGCGACACGCTAAAATTATGTACATCATGATGATATTCTTGAAGTAAGGTCTGACTATTTTTATTATTGATCAGGAAGAATTATGATTTACCTGTTGTATGGAAGTAAACGGGATTAAAGGACCATTATTATCTTTTTCTCTTGTGAAATATTGTAACAAATTCGATACAAGACTTCGTGCTTGCGAATTCAAACGTCATTCTGGCATGTTGAATATTTGACAATGGTCACGCAAAACGATGTCATTTCAGCACCTACTGCACGCCTCTGAATTAGCCGATTCAAATGTGTCTCGACATACGAACACCTATGTATTCAAGCTTTTGAGCTTGAGTTCAAAAACGAAATCGTAACTTATGTCAACAAACGTCATGATAGACATTGCTGCTCTCTATGCAAGTCTGAAGAGGATAGCAAGTTGCGCGTAGGTCTATGCTAATTTCAGACACATGCAAAGAAATATTATACAGACTGTAAATACTTTGTTACACTGAAACGAAATACGAGGGTAGTTACACTTGCAGCGGGATACACTGTATGTATAGAAGGGTTGTACGGTACATTCGAATTTTCACAACAAATGCCAAATATTTTGTCCTAAATTTAATTTTAACCTGGCATCATGAATCAGATAGAGAATAGATTATCGAGGGTACGTTCAGGTATGTACTCCAACACCTACGTGCGCTCCAAGAGATTAAAAAATGATATCGCTTCATTTTGCTATAGTTGCTTCTGGCGTTTCTAGTTTCTTAAAATATCTTATATTTCAAAAATTATTCAATAGTAACCTTATACAATGGAGCAAGATATTGTCCGTCTCTCCTTTTGTACCGTTGTTTATATTATAGTATAATTTTTCCCTGCATATACTCTACCATCAATGCAGGTTTATCGATCATAAAAAAAACATTTTTCTTTTCAAATTGATTTCAACCTTGAATGGCGTTCAGAGATGTCAGATGAGAAAAATGCAAATATGTTAGATCATGTCAAATAGTTGAAAACATAATAAATAATGGTTTGTTTTGAAGCTAGTAGTGGAAATATCAAAGCTCTGAGGCCAAAGTGATTCAATTAATAAAAAATGTTTTTCTTTGTTACATGCCCATTAAAATTTATTTCACCAAGAATGCCATATACAAATTGACATTCCATAATATTTTTAGGAACGTTAGTACTGGACTTGGTTCGCGAAAAAATGGTTGTGAATTAAATAGCATTCTTACCCCGGTGGGAATCTTTTATCAGTAACGAATTTCCTTCTACCTCGGTATGTTGAGGCCGATTTAGACTCATGCGTGCTTATGCCCATGCAGTTGTTCTTCACTTTCTCTTTGGTTCTGATATAATTCTTTCATTAGCTACTGAACGAACGACATTTGAGTCGCTGACACGATCATCAATACCACTGCCCATTACATATTGTCAAAAAGTCAAAGAAGCAGATATTAGAGGGTATTTATTTGTATTTTCACTTGCAAAAAATAACGTTCACGGATCGTCCTAAAATTATTATAGTAAAACTATCTTACTCATATCTCCGAATACCCAGACACATAAGTCAATGTCATGAATGACAGTTTGGATCCTTCTGCGATTTGTAAATAGTACAAAATCATTGCCTATTATGCTTCCAGTATTTGAAAATATATATTTTTTTCTGGTATATATACTGACTTAAATGGTGCATATTCCTTATGTGTTTCATTAAATAGGTACCTACAGAAAGATTTTATCTAAAACTAATTTGTCGAAAATCAGGGGGGGATTGCAGCTCTCTAGAGTTCCTTAATGTATTTGACATTTTTGTTTGAGACATAACCAAAAATAATTTTGAAGCCGGTCATATGTTATAAGGGAAGAGTACATCCATATATCTTTCTTTGTCTTTCATTTTTCAATGGAGTGGAGAAGAGGGTGCATTAAATTAAATAGCTACGAATACAAATTGTAATGGGGGACTTTGCTCCAAGTTGCCAACCTAAAAACCTCTACCAATGTCGAAGCAACATTATGGAAGTTTTATTACTCAAATAGCTTTATTTTCATGAAATCTGATTCCATTAGTCTACTCAGCTCGCTAATAGAAGTTATTCAGTAGACAAATTTATTTTTGTAAAGTCTAGTTCTGAGTAGTTGAAAATTATGTTGGTGCACTGCTTTCATTCTGAAATATGTCATCGTTTTCAATTTTATTACTAGTCTCATTTTTGTTATATAATTATTTAAGATCATTTTATTTATGGATGACACTATTATTTATCATCCATTGGTAAATAAGTTTGATCGTTGCAATAGGACGTAGGAATATTCCGGGTGTCAACGAATCTATTAGACAAGTCATAACTTCTAGACCATTAGGTCAAATTGAGATTTGGTATAGGTAAATGGTATGTAATGAGGAGAGTTTCCACATATTTTTCACTTTCCGGTCACTTCCGGTTTCACCGGAAATGGCTCCGGTTCTGAATTTCTAAATGGAACACCCTGTATATTGTAACATTTTTGGATTTCTGAGACAATTCTAGATCAGAATGTGACATTTGCGAAAGTTTTTATGCCTACTTAATTTTTTCGGAGTCACTTTTGAAATTGCATCTAGGTGGCCATGATTTGAAGTAAACTAATCTAAGGACCTCAGGTGATATCAGAAATTTACAATCGCGAAGTTTTAGTGACAAGTATGATAAATATGAATAAGACAAGTTGGCAAAATTACATTTTCTTGTCTAACTATTGTTTTTCAGATGGCGACCATTTTTTGACAAGCGCTTTCCGAAAAAAGGATATTTTGACGAATCTAACGATACTAATTTATTTGTGATTGGATTAAAAATAACAAATTAAATATTACTGACGAAAATACTTCATAATAATTTATTTACTTTTGTCAAGTGTGCCGAGGATAGGCATGATGCATAATATTTTGCAGTTATTTCGAAAGTGAATGAATTATTATCCATGGCACACTTGACAAAAGTGAATAAATTATTATGAAGTATTTTCGTCAGTAATATTTAATTTATGTTCTTATTTGTAATCCAATCGGAAATAAATTAGTATCATTAGATTCGTCAAGATATCCTTTTCTTGTCAAAAAATGGTCGCCATTTGAAAAATAATAGTTAGACACGAAAATGTAATTTTGCCAAATTGTCTTATTCATATTTATCATACTTGTCACTAAAACTTCGCGATTGTAAATTTCTGATATCACCTGAGGTCCTTAGATTAGTTTACTTCAAATCATGGCCACCTAGATGTAATTTCAAAAGTGACTCCGAAAAAAATTAAGTATGCATGAACACTTTCAAAAATGTCACATTCTGATCTAGAATTGTCTCAGAAATCCAAAAATGTTTCAATATACAGGGTGTTCCATTTAAAAATTTAGAACCGGAGCCATTTCCGGTGAAATCGGAAGTGACCGGAAAGTGGAAAATATGTGAAAACTCTCCTCTTCACATACCATTTACCTATACCAAATCTCATTTTGGTACACTTAATGGTAAAAAAGTTATGACTTGTCTAATAGATTCGTTGACACCCGGTATTTCACATGAGTGCTAAAATTCTATCAGACATGGACATCATAAGAATAATATAATGAAGTTTCAACCTTTTCCTAACTGGATGAAACCATAACTGTGTGGAAACAAAGAAATCACAGTCGATATCATACATAAAAACACCAACATACCTATGCAATAATAAGCATTTTCCTGGTAAAAAATTAACAGTAGGGGATGCAATTCATTCAATAAATAGGCTCACCTTGGATAAAAATTGGGCAAAGTTTCCGTTAAAAGTAATACATATCACAAATGTCGGAATACAACAATTAGGCACAGATAGTTTGAGGGTAGCTGAAATCACAAGACTATTCGAACATCACAATATTTCTTACAGCACGAGATACTATGTGTAGTGAGGAAATATGAATGAACAAAAATAAATATGAAGCCCTAACAACAATGTTGTGTTGTTCACCATTACGACGAGTCGAGAGTAGCCCCAGACCAGATAACTTTGGAACCCTCACAGCCAGTTTATTATAGATTTGCACGTTTCTCATGAGAGTTTCCTACTCATTATTCAAAGTACGAACGTGATTCGAACTTACTGATTTAGTGATTCATTGATATAGCATTTAATACTCGTGACACTACTGACACTATTGAAAGTATTGACATTTCAGTACCGCAGATGCACCAACATGATTTTCAACCAGTCAGATGTGAAGTTCACAAAGACTAATTTTTCTTCTGAATAACTTTCATTAGAAAAAGTAGACTTACAATTATATTTCACCAAAATAAAGCTATTTGAGTAATCAAACTTCCATATCTAACTGTCAGTACTTGTCGGAGTATCCATACTCTAAATATACAAAAAAGTCAAAACAAAAGTGTCAAATACATTAAGGAACTCTACCCCTCCCAACTCTCCCTCCTAAATGATGCCCATTACTGGAAAACGTAAAGTACTGAAAAATACGTATGCATTGCTGTTAGTTTTTACCTTAACTTTCATGGCAGCTCTCAAATCCGTATTATATGAACGATAATAGACAATTAAGATTGCAGCATATTCACGCCAATGTCTGAATCGGTCCTAATAATATTATCAAGTATTTATTTCAAGCAGGAAAGTTCATCACAAGTAGTGTTTTGGCTGCAGTGTATATTAGCACTCCCAGGCGGGTGGTAATTTTTTTGTATGTGTATCTAGTCGGTTCTTGGCTGAAGCAACTGCCCTTGGTGATTGGAATAACGTCATGCTTCTGGGGAATTATGTTGCTCTACATGCGGCTTTACAGTTGAATAAGAAACAAACGATTAGTGGCATTTTCCCTTCGAATTAAGTGCAAATATTTAAGTGTAAAATAGCTCTGTTGATGTTCATATGTCATATTTCATATCTGTAAGCATCAGAAATTGAATTCAGCAAACAAATCTAAAAAATGTCGACTGGCTGATAGTTTTCACTATATATTTAGTTAGATGTTGAATTACCAAGCTCAACAAAATAGAGTATAAAACTGAGAGTGAAAATTTAGAAATTAGGGTACTTTCCAATAATTCACAAAATGAGATCCATGAAGAACTGCATACCAATTTATTTTTGAGGAAAACAATATTCGGTAACTAATGATACGAAACAAAAATAATTTTTGATTTAACTATAAATTACTGGCTCCCGGAAATTGCCAATATTTTTTGTAAGAAATGTGGTCAGAATTGTTCTTCTATGTTTCGCATATCGATATTGATTTTTTCTTCTGGACAGTTATAGACAAAAAGTGTCGACAAAGCAAAGGAGATTCTTGCATCATGAACCCATGGCAAACTCCATATGACTGCATATTGGTACTACATTAGTCTCATGCTGTTTGAAGCCCCTCTGCTTTGTTGACATCAGAATTGATATCAGTTTTTTCGACGATACCATTTTTCATACAGCGAACCTGAGGTGAATTTTAATCCGACTATTTAAGTTTCTTCCCATTTTTGTATAATGTATCTATTGAATGGTGTCGCCATCTTGCGAACAATTTGACTAATCTACAGTGGTCACGTAAAGTGTTTTGGTTTACATAAAGCACTATCTTCATTTCATTATGGTCGACACTTATTTGTCTATAACTTAGATACTCGAGAAGATTTAATGAATGTTGTTGAATAATTTTAGAACAATTTTAAAACAATATAAGTTGTTGAACAAAACAAAACTTTCTTTATCTATAAGTTTGAAACTGAACAAAGTTGGTCTAGGGAATTCTCAAACCAAACAAAGCAGAATCTAATTCAATTTGATTTTTTTATAAATTCAAAGGATATTCTATTTGAAAAAGTTGACTGTTGTTTGCATAAAGCAGCATTGGATATTGAGCATCCTGTATATACATTTATCAATTTGAGTACATCCTGTAATAGTGAAAAAGTAAGGATCTTGCGCTGCTTATCCGATAGAAGGAAGTAATAGAATATTATTCTCTACACACGTATTTAGAACAGTATTATAACCTAGTTTGAAATTTTTTTCATCACTTTTCTAACAAGTAGTAGTAAAGATGATTCAACCACTACATTATTCAGGAAAAAATTAAGTTGAGGCTAGATTTGGTTGAATTATACATACTAGAATTCGAACCACAAAACTTGAACACAAGAGATGTTCCTACTTGGAGATGAAATATGGCATAAATAGACCCTCAGAGACGGCGTCATTTCAATCTGAGTTCACTCAAGAAAAGAGAGGAATTCTAATTTTCACTGGAAAAGAAAAAAATATATATAACTATCACTGAAACACAATATCCCTTTATTTATTTTCCACTAGGTTTTCAATTTCTTGTTTTTTATTTATGGGTTTCTCGATTATGAACCACTTCTTCGTTACTACAAAGATTTTCATTTGTGGATTGGCCAGGATGTTCCTATTCGAATATAATATTATAAACATACTACATCAGAATATTTTGTTAGTTTTTGTTTCCATAGTACCCAAGTCAATAGAAGTTTCATATCATTTCCAAAGTGTGTTTGTATTTTATAGATAACATATAAAACATATTTTCTGACAGATTCCATAGATGTTGCTTATACTTGTATTTAATAAACCTATCAATTTTGTTCAAAAGAAAGAATGTTGATTTCCTCTTGGTTATAAAATATTTTGGTACTACATTTGTTCAAGCCCTTTCTGGCCACCTCGCCAAGGAAACACTTGGAGGAAAGAACATTTGCGAGGACTTAGAGAAAAACTGAAAATTGTGAATTAAACACTTGAACTGACTGGTGACACTAGTACACAGACTCATCAAGGGCCTATCAGCGCCACTTTGTTTCCTTTCGGAGGAACATAATCTTAACACTTTTTTCGCCTTCTTCTTTGTTCAAGTTCTGTGCTCATAACGGGTGCAAACTTTTTTCTAAAAAAAAACAAAATTCCTATACGTTTTCCAGGAATGAATGGAAAATAAAACTAAACAGGATATTACCGAAGTTTTGTATATAATAATGGGGAAGCAATGGAAAGGTAGTTTTGCTATCATTCATTATCATATGAACATAATCTCGGTCCATTCATAGTAATAAGTAATTTATTCTATAATATCAATACGTACTACTCAAAAATACCTCATTCATACACCTACTATAATTTTATTCGATAGTAATTTATAATATTATTTAGTATAATTTGAAAGTCAATCTGAATACTGTACTTCCATCATTCTAAAAAATTAGTCTTTGTGTGAAAAGTTCACTTCAGTACAGATTGATTCTCTATAAATAGTTCATTTTTAGAAGTAGTAATGAAGATAAATAGTTCCACCAGAAAACTCAGAACACGAGATATTTTTTAGATTTGTTTACCGTATAGTTTTGTTAGTTACTATTATTTAATACTCTGTTAAGTTTGTTTAAAATTTTATCCTAATAAATGATTTAAAAAATTGTTTCCTTCAAAAATCTATTAATATATGTGAAGTATTGTGAATGTTTACATGCAGCAAGTGTTGGGATTACGACTTTCTTCAAACGCCACGTTAAGGGTTAGTCTCAGCGTATTTTTTAGCTCTAGCCTAATACGCAATTGCTTGCGATTGCTTATACTTTTTGAAATTTTCCTATTGGTTACTGCTTGGAGTGCTAATATATTGTTTTGTCTTTGTCATCTAGCATAAGCATACCCTTTTTTAAAGTACTAAACAAATCTTTATAATTATCACGACAGCATATTTTTTTCTGTATGGAGTTTGGAGTTTGAATATTTAACGGCGTGTTTCCATTAATGTTTTGAATGTTTTTGGATCCTACTGTCACACTTCACACTGACTATAACTTTGTTTCCAGTCTTGGATAGGCCTTCTTCACAGCTATCGTACCTCGACCATTTCTTGAAAGAAACGAATTCATCTCAAGTGAATACGTACGATAATATTCCCGCTCAAAATCTCCTTTACAAAGGCGGATCAATCGAATCTGAGGAAGGAGATATAGAAGACAACAGAGCGCTGAGCATGACAAGTTCAAAGAGCAATCTATCGGAGATCAGCATGGTGGGTACAGCGAATTCTTATTTTTAACATGGTATATTTATGTTTGAATTTTCCTTTTTTTAAAACCTGCTCCAATGACATCACAGTTATTTTATCGAAATTATCATCTTGGATTATTTTTTGCGATTAAGCGAAAACGGTGATTTGTACCATTTCAGACCAATTTAGCCCAATCGCCATTTCAAATAAAACCTAAACTTGTAAGTGACACCGCTAACCATAGTATAATCCTGTATGTAGACAGGATACACCATTTAATATCTGTCAACTGTCAATCCTCAAGTGTATTGTAGTTGCATAACGCGACATTCTAGCGGATACTGCAATGCGGAATTTATTGAAATACGACTGATGTAATTGATGGCCATCGTAATTTTTTCTCTTATTTACATACGAAATTGGAATAGTATTGACCCTTAATTGCTGATACGTGACTCACATATCTACTAATATTTTTCTAAAAAAAATCCAATACCTACCTCCTCTCCATATCCTCCATATAGGTAGGCACGATATTCTCCGAACATTATAAGGATTCCCTTTCGTGCGACACAGGAGATAAACAAAATTAGTCCCTTGATGCAGACTGACGCATTTGTCATCTAACAGGGTACGGACAGATCATAACTCCTTTCTCCTTTAATCATCTAGTGACTTTGGTTTCGTGTATTGGCGTCCCTGACATGACATTGCTGTCACGTCAATTCAATTTCAATTTCATACTTGATCTTAATACATTATTCAATTCTGTTTTGGAAGGATGGCAAAATGTGCTGTGTTAGGCTTTATCAATCAGTTGGATGGGAAATTTCGATTTATCAGCATTTCATCAAATACAAATGAACTTAGAACATGGAAAGTGAAGTGACCGAATGGGAAAATTTAGTAAATACGTCAGCAAAATATTCGAGGTAAAACTAATACGAAATCACATATTATACTTTCTCAGTATGCCTAAAATTATTTACTCCACAAGTTTTTGAATGCATTTTAGTAGAAACAGTTTTGATTAAAACGGTGGATTAAAAGAAGAAGCATATGCCCTACCATTTAAAAAAATATACCTTCAGAAAAATTTGCTCACTGCCTCACAAAGATTTTGGATATAATATGTGGAGTTGAATGAGAAATTACATGTAGAAATCACGTATGATACGCCAATGTCCTCAATATAACCTAAAAAACAACAAACGCCAGAAATCTAGTGTTTATCCCCAGAAATGAATAGAGATGGAACTATACAACTGTTTCACAAACACTTTAGAGTGAGAGGAGACGAGGATCTGTCCGTACCCTGTTGAGATGACAAATACGTCAATTTACATCAAGGGACCCTAAACAAAATAAATCATAAATATTGCGCCGTCACACCCATTGAGCATATAGAAACTTCGAACGCAAATATCTTTGTAACCATTTGAAATAATGAAATAACCCAATCAAACTCGGTATCGTTGAATTCGTTATGATAATCCCTAAGTGATTATGGAATAAAATACAGGGTGTCCCATTTGAAAATGAAAAGTTAGAGTCGTTGCCAGTGAAACCAGATGTGATGAGAGAGCGTGAAATATCGAAAAATTTTATAATTCTAGAATCCAACACCACTGCCAATTTTGAATAGCATACCTTCAGAACAGACGTCAGGTATAAACGAGAAATTTAACTACAAAACTAAACAAAAAGTTGTCAAAATGTCGACTTCGTCACTTCATGGCTATTGAAATCCTAGTAACCCTGCCATCCACATAGAAATTTTATAACGCTGTCATTTTTAATTCAGCTTTTTAATTTTTTTGCTTAAATAGTTATTTCTTATAAACAAAAAAGTATTCAGTGTTGAGATATGAAAATAAAAGGTAGACTTTTGATCCTCTAATTTTCACTCTACTTTTGGCCATTTTAGTGTGTGTCGAGTATTTCTGTTGAGCTTACGAGATTGTGTATGATGAAATGCTTGTAGAGTGAGTCAATTTTGAAATATTTACAATATCTATCCTTATGTCGGTTCACAGAACTCAAAATCTTTATATCATACGACTAGAACGCGCGATCCTATGGTTTCATACCAAATTTCTGAACAAAACATGGGCATTGAAATTCGGGTCAAATCAAACTAATCTCAGACCTACCATACTCCGATAGGTAGCGTACGGTTATTTTCTATCGCGAATAGCCCATGTTAAGATTTTAAATTGAAACACTGTATATTATCACTCAGTATATCGCTATTACTAACAACAATCTACAGTAGAAGTCCATATTGTCTCAAAGTTGAGTGAAATAGTTATAAATGAAATAAAAACTCTCCAAGTCGTCTCCACAATGTTTAATTTCAAAATCATTCTTTCGGGTGATGATGGACATCTTATGGGTCCGAAACGTGCCCCACCTTCACGATTTTAAAATTAAACGTTGTGGAGACGCCTTGGAGAGTTTTTGTTATACACACCTACAAAAAAAACGGCTACAACAAAATTTAGCCAAATTGTTCGCCCTATAACTTTTTCAATTCTTGTCCGATTTTGGTGAAATCTCAACCAAATCGTATATCCATGTTCCGCAATTATAGCTTGAATATTATTTCCTAAGAAAAGCTGATGGCCCGATCATTATACAGAGAAACACCAAAGTTAGTCTTTCACCCTTGAATTTGTAACGCCCTGTGGCAAAGGTGAGTGGTTAAACTTATCTTCATCATGTTTTAGATTGAAGTGTGATTCGTTCTCAACACAATGGTTTTTGATTCACGCCGATAAACCGAAGAACATGCCCGTCGTTGTCTGTGGCCATGGCAGGGACTCAATATTTTCGACGGCCCATGCCGTCCTTGTATTACTTGCATTTGCAAAGCACCAACGGGGTCATCTGTCAATTTCACACGTAGAATGGTGTGAAGGGTCCAAGTAAAACAAAAAAAGGCGTCTATTCAGTGTCCTGTCTGGCAGAAGCATTTCTCTTGTGCGGACTGCTATAGAACACGACGGCCATAGTCGTCGTTCTGTTTTTTGTGTGAAAACATGCAAAGAAATGTTTTTCTTCATTCTCACATCATTTTTTGGCCTAATATTAGTTCAAATTCAGCAAAAAACCAAAGTCTTTTTTTACTAGACACCTCATTTACATAGGTGTCCGTCAACGTGTTAAAAGAAGATACAAGTGTTTTGAGAAAGTATGGATCTATTTTTAATTTTATAAACAATAATTTAGAGCCATTCTCCAACGTTCTGCTTCTTAATACAATGGTTCTAGATTCACGTCAATACCTTCTTTTCAATAGAAGATACGAGTGTTTCAATAAAGTATGGATTTTTTTAAATTCTCATCAATAATAATTCTGAACCTATAGAGCATCTTAGGGATGAACTCCAGAGGCTCATTCGACTTCGTCCGGCCTTGTCAGAGACTCTTCGATAGCTACGATTCGCTATTCAAGGAGAATTTTAGGCAATTCTTCCAGATTATATGAGGAATTTGATCAACTCGATGCCACGGCGGTTGAATGCTGTAATCCAAACTCGAGGAAAGCATACTCGTTATTGACTACAGGTCTGCTTTTGGTTTGTTTCTTGTAATTGAGGTTTTTTCTGGTAAGTGCTAGGAAAATTAAGTCGAAATGAGTGATATTGATTCTTTAAGTTGAGTATCAATAAGTTTATGTAGGTTCCGATTATTGTTGATAAAACACTCGTAAATTCTTTTAAAAAAAAGATATTGACGTGAATCAAAAACTATTATATTGAGAAGGGATCTCACTTCAATCCAAAGCATAATGAAATCAAGTTCAACCACTCAATTTCGCCACAGGGCGTTAAAAAGTATGGGGTGAAATACACTCACCGGCAAAAAACGGCCACCAAAAAATTTAGCCAAGTTGTTCGCCCTGTAACTTTTTTAATTCTTGTCCGATTTTGGTGGAATTTTGACCAAATCGTAAATTCATGTTTCAGAATGTTGGCCTGAATATTAGTTCCTAAGAGAAGCTTCTTGACCCAATGAGTCTTGATTCACGTTGATAACCACTTCCTAAAAGAAAGATACAAGGGTTTTGAGGAAGTATGGAATTTTGGATTTTTATTAACAAAAATTCCGAACCGTTCTACAACCTTCCAGTGGCGGCTCCTCAGAGGAGGCAACGGAGGCTGAGCCTCCTCAGAGATTTTCCTTGAACTGATATTATCTATACTTTCTCATTAGAAGGACACCAAAATACATGGATTTTGATTTTATTTCCTGTTTTTAGGTGAATATTTTTGAATTGGCAACAGTGCTTGCCCACGCATCACACGTTGAAGTCTGCAAATCACGCGTAAAATATTCAACTTGGCAACATCTATAGGAGGCTAGACTCCTTCATAATGCGCAAGCGCAACCTTGAGCGCAACCCACTCGCGCAATGCAAATGCCCGAATACGCCCGAATAGCACGTGTTTGTCGTGTCGCGTCGCGAATTGCGGGCATTGTTTATGTTGGGTTAATGGTTAGGGGCTCTATGAATTTCTGAAAAATGAGTGTTTTAAACGATTGCAATTTAGTGGAATACTTTTTGGTGAACCCATTCAGTGCTTTGTCTTATGAAGATAAATTGATTGTGAAAAACAAACGTCCGACACCGGAAATAAAAAAATCTGATTGTAACAGGTAACAAACAAAATCGTTCGTTCAATTCTGATAATCATAAAAAATATATCTGGCTGACGGGATCTGAGGTAAGGAATAAGCTATTTTGTTAGTACTGCGTATCATTTTCAATCGAGAAGTCATCATGTTGGGGGCGATTAGGATATAATGATTTGAATAATTTGGATCGCGGATTGGATAGACACTGCGAATCACAGGAACACATCTCTTCAAGTATTAAGTTCAGGTTAACTGGTAAACAGAATGTCATTAAAGCTATTGATTTGGGTGAGTAGAGAGTTGTTTTTCACAATGAATCTCATATCATTCAGCCTCCTCTGCCATGAAAGTCACGAGCCGCCACTGCAACCTTCTGCTTCATCATGTTTTGAATTGAAGTGTTGTAGCACGCCCACCCTGAATCATTGTTCAAAGTATAAATATTACATTATTGTATCATTTTCCGTTACATTTGAATTGTGTCGCGCCCGCGTGTGATACCCTGATTGGTGCACCGGATTTGACTTCATTCGCGAGAGAGTACGAAGGGAGGGAACCGAGGATTCGCTTCAGAAAGGTTCGCGAGAGAGAGGGGACGGCCGCCTGAAAGAGAGGTCGGGAATTCGGGCACTGAGTTCGCCAGGGTTTTGACGGGTTTTTTGGGGAACGAGTTGCTTGGTTAAAGTGCCTTCTGGGACGAGCAAGTCGTCATCACTAGTTACCAACTGTGGACAGTCGGTGAGAAGCACTTTAAGAATTGAAGCGAGCTGTTTTCCTTTGCCGATTGCCAAGAAGAGCCATCTTCCTTTGCCGATTGCCAAGAAGAACCATCGCGCGGTCGCGTGACTTCAGTAGCTGATGTTGTTGCTGTACCGATTGTTTTCATTTTTAAAACAATCAACCCTCGTTATCTTTCGTACTCTGCGTTTCAAGACTATTATAATCGTGTGACCTGGTACTCATTGTTGATATTCGTGACATTAACCATTTTTAGTTTACTATTATACGGTTTGCAAATTCAATTTTGTTTTCTTCCGCAAGTCTGTCCCCCCTTGAGACCTTTGAGAGTCTCTTATTTAAATAATGTTCACGACTGAGCTGGTCGACTACAGTGTGATCCTATTTCGTCCCTTCTTAACAGGATAGTTTTAGATTCACCACGTCAATATATCATTTTTAAGGAAAGATTCAAGTGCTTCAAGAAAGTATGGAATTTTTTAATTTTTACTAACAATAATTCAGAACCAATAGAGCATCTTAGGGATGAACTCTAGAGACTCATTCGTCTTCGTCCGGCCTTGTCAGAGACTCTTCAAGAGCTATGATTCGCCCTTCAAGGAAAATTATAGGCAATTCTCTCTGCAATTCTTCATGACTACTTGAAAAATTTGATTAACACGAGGCCACGGCGGTTGAATGCTGTAATTCAAACTCGATGAGGGCATACCTTCTCGTTATTGACTATTGGTCTGCTGTTTGTTTGTTTATTGTAATTGAGGTTTTTTCCGGTATGTGATGAAAAAATGAGGTAGAAATAAGTGATATTAATTTCTTAAGTTGTTTATCAATTAGTATATTATGTAGTTTCTGATTATTGTTAATAGGAATTGAAGAATGCCATACATCTCTTGAAAATAAGATCATGACGTGAATCAAAAACTATTGTGTCAAAAAAGGATCACATTTCAATCCAAAACATGATGAAGCCAAGTTCAACCGCTCAATTTCGGCACAGGGCGTTAAGAAGTGAAGGGCGAAAGAGTAACTTTGGTTTTTCCCTGTATGATGATCAAGTCATCAGCTTTTCACGGAACATAAATCTACGATTTGATCGAAATTTCACGAAAATCGGACAAGTTTTAAAAAAAGTTACATGGTGAACAATTTGGGCAAATTTTTTGGTGGCCGATTTTTTTTTTTCGCCGATCAGAGTAGTAACTGGATATTTCCTGTATAATGAGCAAGTCATCAGCTTTTCACGTAGGCTTACATTCTGGAACATTTATCTACGATTCGGTCGATATTTCACAAAAACAGGACAGGGATTCAAAAAGTTACAAGGTGAACAATTTGGGCGATTTTTTTGTTGGTCGTTTTTTTTGTCGCTGAGTGTATTATACAAACAACAATGTTTATTGCGGTTATTAAGACAATCAATCAATTACTCGTTTCAGCATGATTCTCAATCGCCTATGAAATTCAAAGCGCATCAGTTCCTGGTGCGGACCTTCTCCAGTCCGACCAAGTGCAGCCACTGCACCTCTCTGATGGTCGGCCTGATGCGGCAAGGCATGGTCTGCGAGATTTGCGGTTTCACCTGTCACACGTCCTGCTGCACTCACGTACCTGCGGTGTGTCCAGTGCCGCCAGACCAAAGTGAGTTAATGGATTTTATGCACTAGCGGGCCGTAAAGTGCACTATACCGCCCGCTGTTCTCAGTTCCCTTATGTCCACATATCAATTCATGAAAAACCTATGATCATTTTTCTAGATTCTAATATATTCAGCCTTTACCGCCCGCTGTTCAGTTCCCTTATATCCACATATCAATTCATGAAAAACCTATGATCATTTTTCTAGATTCTAATATATCCAGCGGTATATCATAAACTTATTCTTTATCCGATTCCATAGTCTCGCTATTATTATTATCACTAATTTTTACTTTTCACTCAAAGAATGACAATTCAGCTTGTTTATCGGATTTATTGCTATAGACAACAACCATCAGCTTTCTTGACAACGTCAAAATTAGGTAGGTATATATACTGGGTATGCATATTGTAAAATTCTGAAGAATGAATCTCTTCTAGAGATCAAAGAATTTTACTTTTACGATAATTGCAATATTCGTACGATAATTTTCATAAGTGAATCATCCATGAACATTACGCTTCTCTTGATTACTGAATTTATATGTAACAAATTAAATTCGGGGGAATATTAGTTTATCGAAATCTATAGTTATTACTTTTGAGTAAGAAAATAAACCACTAGTGCATGAAATGTTGTATGTATCACGTGCGTGAAATGCGTTTATGGCCTTCAGCGTGTAATTTATCCACGCCACAGGCCATTAACGCCTACTCTACGCCCTTGATACATAAATAACTATTATGTGACCGTTCTACAGGGTGTCCCTAAATTTGCCTGCCAAACTTCACCAAAATGGGAAGAAAAGTTCCAATGAACATGAGTCGAGAAATGTCTCCTACGGGAGCTACGGCCCTCTGAAAGGGGGCTCCTGAATTGAATATTTCCGAAACGCCACGTGATAAAATGATGCAATTTGGTACAAGAACTAAACATTCCAAGGCCAATGCGGTGAACATAAAATCATTCTAGAGTTTTATTCAGGAGTGTGTAATACAAGGTGGGACTACATTAAATGATGCTCAAACTTTTTCGTATGTCTATTTTTTGACAATTTAATCTCGAAATATGAAAATCCACACCCTTTCACAAAAAAAGTGCGCATCGATCAGATGTATCATTTTCGAGTGAAATCGAGTTGAAAAATATTGATGCACTCACATCTTATGCAGAACTTTACTAATTTTCAAATAAGAGTAATTATCAAAAAATCAAGTACTTTCTTTTTACCAAACAATATCATAAAAGTGCGAAAAATAGAAAAATTATGATGAAAAAACTACTTCAATTTTTGTCCATTATTTTACATTTCCACTACGAATTATTGCAATGTTATCCATAATATCTGAGATGTAACAATATTTTTAAATTGCTTTTACTCGATAATAATACATCTGATCGTCACGGAACAAGAGTACCTTTTTTCTGTAAAGAGGTGTGAAATTTCATAATCCGAGATTAATTTGTCGAAAAATATGCATACAAAAAATTTTGAGCAATATTTAATGTAGCCCCATCCTGGATTATACACTTCTGACTTAAATTTTGAAATGATCTTATTTTCACTGCATTTGGGCATGGAAAGTTTAGTTCTTGTACCAAATTGCATGTTTCTATCACATGGAGTTTCGGAAATACTCAAGAAATATCATCATAGCCATAGCTCCCTTAGGAGACTCATGTTCACTGAAAGTTTTCTTTCTATTTTTAGTAGTAAAAGCCGCTGGTGGAGTTTGGCAGGCTGGTTTCGGGACACCCTGTATAAATATTTGAAATAATAAATAATACAGGAAAGGTCATGTGATAAATGATAGGGCTGATAGAGAGAACAAAAATGATGTTAGTACTTCATATAAAAAAATGTCTATCGCACTTCGTTTTTTTAATGTTCTGGTTCCCATGAAAAGGGATATCCTGTAATGTTCAGAGAACATCGTGAAAACCAAGGGAAATAAGGTAGGAATTGGTGTTCTTCCTAAATTTCTGGAGGTTATATGCCTCGGGGAACACCTCCCTTGGCAATGTGTTCCAGAGCCTCGCTGTTCGTTGGTTGAACGAGTCTTTGGAAAGAGATGTTCTGCAGGTCTCCAAAGTGACCACCAAGGGGTACGAAGCCTCAACTCGACGGGTTAATATAATATTGACCTTGAAAGTTTGAATGAAAAAATATATTTCATGTATAACATTCAAACGGTTGCCATGGTATCAATGATATTCGGGCAAATAAATCAACTCATACTTATGTTCCTTTTGAAATGAATGTATTGAAAGTTTATATGGACTTGCAGAAAATCTCAAGGTCAATAACTCCGTAACAAAAGTGCGATAGACATTTGTTTATATAAAGTATCAGCCCTGCAACTACCATGATGTTATTGAATAGAGTTTGCATAACTTTTGAAATGGTTGGGATTTTGGTTGGGATATATGTTTTTAAAATGCGATTTTCTCCAGAACGGTACAAGATATCGATTGAAATGAATAATACTTTTTCTGTAGAAAAAAGATGAAGGAATCAAACGGTGGAAGCAAAGTGAAAGTGAAAGCCATTTTGTTGGTCCTTCATTCACGCAAACTTTTCTCCTATTCAATCAAATCTGTATCTCGTAGTTTCCGAGATGCCCACACTGGCCCTCCTCATTTTGGGTACAGTGTATAATTCTAGGTCACAAATGGTTTGGTTAATCTACTTGAAGGCAGTTTTAGAATATAGATTCTCTCTCACGGCGTTTTCTGATCGTGACAACTTTTGTGATAATAATAAATTTAAAAACCTTGACCTCACTCTCCAGTAGCATGATATAGTGGACAATTGAATGAAACATGCTAGTTCTCATAGCATGAGATTGATCTCAGAAATAATACACGCGAAGAGAGTGCTGAAGCTGAACAAGTCAACTGAGCTAACTTTAGTATTCTGTTATACGCTGATTTTTTGAAGAGGTGAAGGTATCAGCCATAAATGCACCATACATAACAAAGAAAAATCGTTCATCATGGGATCAACATTTGAAAGCATTTCATTTTTTTGTTTTTGAAAGAGTCGATGATTTCGATTTAAATCATTGAAAGCTTGTGCAAATAGAAGAAAACAGTAAATCTTGTGTTCGAATTTTCCTCTCTGATTTCTGGAAATAAATATCTCGTTCTTGTGGAGCTAGACCATTGAATAAAATCAGCAGATTAATGTCTTCCTTCAGACTCAAACATCTCCAATTTCATTGAAATCAACGAACTGTAATTTTTAATTGTCTTTTAATTATTTATCATTGGTTTCTGAGAAATGTGAGATATACCCGATTTACATGGATACTGGGATAATACGTCATCTTATTTTTCATGGAATATTCACAGAAATTTTGTCTCCTATGAATATCAACCAATTATCAGTCGGAAAATATTGATTATTTCAAATAAACACAATTATAATACCATATCAAAATGTGATGTTTTGATAACTTTTTTTTTTATATTCGCTATAGAAGTATAAATCCCTGTGATCTCCATTATTCTTTTGTTTTTATTGAACATTGAAACTGTAGTGATTGGTAGATTGAAAATTTTGAGATTATCATGTTTCAGCAAAAAGACCTCTAGGCATAGATCCAACTAGAGGGATAGGCACAGCTTATGAGGGATACGTCAAAGTTCCCAAACAGGGAGGCGTTAAAAAAGGTGAGATTTATTTGTACCAATGATTTTTGTGGGCTAAAATTTTCCTTTGCAGGTTGGGTCAGACAATTCGTTGTTGTTTGTGACTTCAAACTGTTTTTGTACGACATAACAGCGGATCGCAATGCCTTACCAAGTGTTCACGTGGCTCAAGTATTAGATATGCGAGATCCCCAGTTCAGTGTGTCCAGTGTCAAAGATTCGGACGTGATTCACGCCAACAAAAAGGATATTCCTTGCATTTTCAAGGTATGTTCATAAATATTTTTCACAAATTTCAGCCACAAAAGTAACCCAAATACCAACAAAAAATTCACTTGAAAAAATAAATTGTTCTTATCTCTACACTAAATATTTTTGACATCAGTACCAAGATACATGCTTGACACGTGTAGCAAGTGTTGACATATCCCTTCAAGGTAAAGACATACAAATTCCATAATTTTTGTTCTTCGTTATATTTGTGATCCCTTATATTAATATCATTCAGATGAGATATGTTAACATTATGCCGAGAGACTACGATTTTGATCGGTTTCGGGTAGTCGAAACTAGAGTTCCTATTATGTACTTGACACTGCTGTTTTAACGTTTTTTGTATATCAGAGTACGGACACTAGACAAGCAGTGACAATCAAACATAACCACATCTTCCTTCCTCCACAAGTCCTGGGAAGAGTACATCCATATATCTTTCTTTGTCTTTGATTTTTGTATGAGAGTGCATAGCGTCTCCTCGAGTGGGTAAAAGGGTACTATAAATTGATTAGAAAATTAGTTCGTCTCGAAATATTGAATGATAAGGCTGCAGGACCTCAATGGAGGCCGATATCAAGTTGGTATGTACATATACTATTCCTATGAAATAAGTCTCTCATATGTAGGTATATATAATACGTTCAGTTGAGTATTTTATTATCACAAAAGTTCAGAATGGGTTAAAAACTGTTAAATTTAGACCAATGGAACATACTTTTATTTCGTATGGAACAATTTCCTTTCTACAAGAGTGGTAGGTAATCGGGTCGATTCTGTTTGCAAATAGCAATATGGTTGTAGAGAAGATCTATCATAGCAAGATTCGAAAAAGTGGAATTCTAATCTTCGATTTTTGGCAATATGATCTGTCAATTTCAATGACATCTGGTCAGCTTTCTTGCTATCTCGGCAACATCAATTTTGTGCTTGCTATCTTATAACAAGGTAGTGGATTCTTTGTTTTTGCACTACAAATTCTTCCAAGTGTATGAAAATTCAGAAAATAGTGGATTAAAAACATATGTGAGTTCACTTGTGTCACTGACTACTAGAAGATCTTTCCTCAAAGTTTCAATTTGTAGAAGAATTATTGAAAAACTTAGAATGGTGGTTACAAACATCACTACTGTGACCAACTACTTGAAAACCTTTTCTTGAAGTTCCAATTTGAAGAGGCAATATGAGACCACAATTTCGGCATATCAGAGAAACCAGAAAACCATTTCAGTTGCCTGATGGATAGTTTATCAAGCTATTTTGCTAGAATATTCGAAAAAAAATTACGATCATTTTCATCCGGCTTTTAGGTTGTTTTCTCATTTCGGGGACATGATTGATTACTTGCACCAGTCGCACAACGACGACCAGATTCATCGAATACAGAATCTCAATTTGAACAATATAATTTTGTAAAGTGTCAGTGCAGGACTGACTAATTTGAGAGTTAGATAATCATGAACTCTTCTTCAACAATATTGCTATCACTTGAACTTATAACCAATCTTGCAGTTACTCTGCAAACAGAATACAGAACTTCATAGCAATATTGTTATAAATTATGATCATAATAATATTGTTATCTTAGCAATGTTATAACAAGATTCGAACAGAATCGACCCGAATAAGTAATTAATAAATGAACAAATGATATGGCAACAATAACAGCTGATTTCAGTTAGGATAAATAATAAAGGTTCTCCAAGACATACTGATATTATTCAATTTGTTATTCAAATCTTCCATTCGGTTTTTCAAATACAAAAGTTTTTCATAGTATTGTTCATCGAAACTATGAATTTTGCTCAAAATTGCCTGGATATTTGCTTGTTCAATTTTCTTGTATTTCTCTGAAGATATTTGCTAATTTTGTTTCAAATCTGAAATAATGTTTAGGTAATAGTTCTGAATTTTGCTAACTCTGACTGTAGTATCTAAATCTTTTTGCTTTAACTTATTCTCCAACTCTCGATTTTTTTTCTTTTATTTGTTTCCCGAATTCCTCACTCTCTTCCACTCGTAAACCTTGGATTTTTGAATATTCCTGCTCTGAAAACTCGGTTCTCAAGTCTTTTTCTTTCAAAATATGTTCGAAATGAATTTCATTATCTGCAAGTTTTTCGTTTCTAATAATCCATCATTCCATCACAAGCAATAACCAGAGTCTAAATTGAAATGAGGTTCTTTTCGATATTCGCTCAGTTTATGAATTGTGAGTTCGGCTCTTTCTCAATACGATCCTATTCTTCAACATTGAATCTTCCGTTCTGAAGTGCACCTGATAAAAATGCATTGAAAAATGTTCTATATCCTACCAAGAATTTTGAATACCTCCGAAATTTTGTGGCCTGCACCTATATTCCATGCCGGCCGCATCATATTCTGTTTCCATTTTTGTAGAATTACGTTATCCGATGGAAATTCGAATAGAGTGAATTGATTTCCCGTGTTCTCACAGTTGGAAACTGCACAAACTTGCATCTTCCTCCTAGTTCTCTCAATTGTCAAACCTTTGAAATTTATGTCATGTACGTTCGTGTACAGTCAGTGCCCGCCTTTTCCATCAATTTATTTGTGGTTATGTCTGATTGGCGGTGCTTGTCATAGTGTCCGTACTCTAATACCCAAAAAACGTCAGAACAGCAGTGTCAAGTACTATTAGGAACTCTAGTCGAAACTATTCGGTTCATGTGTCAACGCCGCTACGTCGTCTTCTACAGTAGACAAGAAGAGCCGACCAATGTATCATTCGAAATTACCCAGCCATACATAATACATAAGATGAAGAAAATAATCTATCCAGTTGAGTGAAACTGTTTGAAATACCGGGGCCAATTTGAGCAATACTTGTAATTTTAAGATAATCATTTGTTTTCAATACATCATTTTTCTAGCATTAAAATATCTTCTTTTCATAAGGGACGGACAGTACGTTCAATTACTGTACCAAACCAGTCACTGTAGACTCGGTCCAGTCACTGCAGACTCGGTCCAGTCACTGCAGACTCGGTCGACTTTTTATAGGGGGGGTTCCTGAGTAATATTTCTTTGAACGAATGATAGGTATTTAGCAATAAAATGATGATACTGAACCATTCATACTTGAACAAAATTATATTCCTACAACAATATATTATTACAAAGGGTGGGTAATGACCGAACGAGCAAGTGAAGAAAGAATTCACCTGCTTATAACAACCCACTACAAAGAGAATTACAGTTATTACTGATCATACGGTAGGATTTTCTCGGCTACTCAATCCACCGATCTACCGTTTAATCGTTTTATCACAAAATAGTTCACACTTCTACACTGCGTATTTGGTGTTTGCGATCGCTTCCCACGTTCAGTCGAGCATCGAGTTCCTGGATAACCTTCCTCTCGGTCACCGGTACGCTCTCCTCCCTTTTTTATGCTCAACTGCCTTTTTTCAGCCTTTGTATTCCGTCTCCCCACCAGCTGAGTAACGTCACATATCCAGAATGTTTACCCGCACATACAGGGTGTGCCTGGTATACGACTCAATAAAAAATTTAATAAAAAAATGTATTTCTTGTCTGCGGAACATTCATATTTTCGACTAATTTCGCGTGAAATTTAATTTGTTGTGAAACATCATTGAATTCAAAAAAAACTCGTTAGAATTGAACTCGTTAGAATTGACATTGGAAAATGAAATTATTGGTGCAAATATATACGAGAAGCCATTATCTAATCCTTGTGTGGAATCGTTCTTGGTTATGACTTGCTGGTACTGTCTGTCGAGTGTCCATACTCTAAAATCATAAAAACATCAAATGAAAAGTGCATTTTGGAACTCTACTAACGAGCAATGAATATAAATAATACAGGGAGACATGATTTGGTATTGGGCACTCGTTGGGTACCATATTACACTCGGATATTGCTAGACTGAGATGATAGAAGAGGGAATGGATTTCAAGTATGTCCTAGAAGCAAAACATTTAGCATCAAACAATGTTGAACACGTCATTTCGATAAAACATCTGTTGTTAACCCTAAAACTTGATGGTTTTCGAGATAACCGCATTTTGTGTATCAGCTACATATTACTCATTTCATTATGGGAAGTATTAACGTAGTAGGCGCTTATAATGTTTTCACAGCATACGAGGACTATGAGTTGACGTCAAAAGTATGTTGGTCACTTCAGAATGAAGCCAAAATTAAGACTGCAATACATGTTATCTAGAAGAAAAATTCAGAAATAATTGGGCTAAATAAACATTATAACATCAATTATATAGCTATAAAAAGTCTGCGTCACATCAAATAACACCATTGGCTCAAACGGAATGCTGTTGAATTGATTTCTTCGCAAAGTTGATCGCGTGTAATAATTTCATATTTATAAACAAGTTTTTTCATTGCGTCCCGTACACCAAAATCGAGAAAATTAAGATCTGGGCTACATTCGCAAACTGTCCTTTGAATTCGGCCTCAAGAAATTTTCCAAGTACTGTATTCTTGAAAGAAACTGGTGATTTATTATCAACACATTTTCAACATTGTAATTTTTCCACATTTGAGCTTATTGTCACATACAACTAAACTTGTTCTTTCAAACAACCAAGCTCCAAGCGATTTAAAAAAACTCGAACTTGATGGAATAAACTTAACCCACCTGCTTCCTTCAAAATACAACTTTTAACTCGGCCCTCTCCCTCAGATCACCACCTCGCTGATGGAGAAGAGCAAGTGGGTGGTGGCGCTGGCCGAGTTGCACCGCATCATGAAGCGCAACAATCTGCCCAATACGACATTTTTTAAATATAATTGTGACTTTTCCAAAACTACATTGAAGCCCACTGTGACAAACAACCAATAACTCGGACGTGATGAAATAAAACAACCTATCTCCTTCGAAATCCAACTGTCAACTCGGCCCCTCTTCCTTAGATCACCACCTCGCTGATGGAGCCGCCCGGCCCCCTGCACTCCACCCTCTACTTCTTCTTCTTCTCTGCACAGG